TCACGTTTCTTGTCTCGGCAATCCGTTAAACACTGACTGCAATTCGCAAGGCCAGCGATATTTGTCTGACTGGATTTTTGCTGTTTTTAAATAGATTTTCTAGCCTCATTATTACATGAAAATCACCGACCAAACTTTAGGTTTTTTGTACAGATTTTCCCTTAATCTCCATGCTAATTATCTCAAAACTTAAAAGTACCGTCTTTCCCAAAAACCGTCCGTTCTTTGCCCTACCCCTCTCCATCAAAGCCAATCAGCTTCTAGCTCCCAAAAATAAATCATCGGCTTGCAGCCGCTCCCAGATTAGGTTGGGGTTATCAGGGAATTTTCGGAGACGTAGGCACACCATTTACGCACATTGGGGGGAGGGATGGTTGGTGAGGGGACAAACACTGATAGAGAAGGAAGGAAGGATAGAAAAGGAAGGGAAAGAGGAGGGATGCAATCGGGGAGAAGGGCTTAAATAAGGCCAATTCTGTTTCTGGCAGCCATTCCGGGGGTCTTTTCAGCCGGCTTCAGAGGGGTGATAGGAGCCTATTGGACTCTATTATATTTTTAAGTCGAATATTTAATAATGATTGTAATGAAAAATGTTTTTATTGTCGAAAATTCATTTCGCTCATTTGAAGTAAAAATTAGCATTCTTAGACAACATTCGGCGAAAATTGAATTAGGTTCAATGTAAATTGATTTAATAAAATTATTTAGTATTTAATAAAACAAATCTTTGAATCGAAAAATTTAATTAATGTAAATCTATTGTAATTACCTCGATTATTGACCGGAAGTAGCCTGAATTTTCTTACTCTCCGTTCTGATTTATGTCTGGGTTCTTAGAGGTGAAATTCTTTGTTTTCGATATGTACAGAGCCTAGGTAACAACAGCCCGTCCCACTAAATGTTTCATGGAGACGAAACTCCGAGCGCCCGTCCGGCCAAACGGGAAAACCGCATTTTGTCGGGACGAGGCGGGCCAGGAATAAATGTTTAATAGCCCTCCTTTGCACCACCAGGGTGTCCCCTCTTCTCCCTCACCCTCTAGCCGCCACAATTTTGCCGCCCATATGCCAAACTTTCCGGTGGGCACTGATTGGTCTCTTGCAATTATTATTGACCAGCGCCCAAAACCCGCGTCGCGGGCCCTGGGCGCTGGATTGTGGCCTCTGCATGAGAAATTTGACTTTCCGATAGCTCGGGGCCTGCGGACCCCCACCGACCACAAGCGCGTGTGCAACTGGCAAGAATGAGGAAATTTGTATTTTTTCACTTTATGCAAATTAGCCCTCCTGTATTTGTTCCAAACTTGTATTTTATCGGAATTCCGAAAGCGCCATCGGAAACAGAAGGGCCGATTACCCTAAATGACGGAGAATTGGGACGTTTTGGCAGCGGGAAGGCCCTCAAATCGGGCTTCGAAACTGACATCCACACATACACACACGCCAAAATTATATAAGGTAGGATTTTAAGCGACTTGATTCAAAAATGGTTTTCACATTTTTAAACCTTTACCGCATTTTTTTCTAAAAAAACCCTATCTTAGGTGATCGAGAAATGGAAGTAAATAGGTTCATTAATTTTTAAGTAGAATTTCGAACTTAGACACCAAAGTATCGATGATTCAGTAAAATTCCCTCCACAAAACAAACGGCCTGACGAATTGTATTCGACCATCCCCCGCAATATTTTCGGGTCATTTCGACACCATACACCTGGCGCTAAGCCAGCCGGGCTGACACGATACCTGGCGAAATCCGACCAGCGCCACTTTTCCGAATACCTCAAAACCGTATTTGGCCTTACAAGCACCCCCCACACCTTCCACTCCAAACACCAAAAAATGGCCCCAACGCCCGTTTTATGTTCCGTTGGCTTGTCAACCGTTGATTCATGCTTTGGCTTTTAGGCGAAATGCCACCCCTCCCACAGTCCGCCATTTTCACTGTAATTTTTGGAGACCCGCCAAGAATGTATTTAATTCGATTTTGTGTAGCTAATAACAGGCCATGTCACCTCCCGGAAAAAATGGTAAAATGATGCGTGCTCACCTTGAACTAGCTCGTCTCCCTGTCCGATTGACGTCAGCCCGTCAGTCTCTTTTCGCCCCGGTTCTCAATTTTTTCGGAGGCTGACCCGGGCGCGAAATAGCATCGAACGAAAATGACAGATTAAATTTTTGTGACCCCTGCCCCCCACTCAAATCACAATATCGAACCGATTTGCCAGAAATAGCCGTCCTCAAATTCTCATAAATCTATGGCTTCTTGGGAAGCCCTGTTCACAATTCCCAATTACAAATTTTGCCGGCCCTTTGTGCGGCTCGCTATTTTTTTTGTCCTGGACCTTATACAGCCATAAAACCGGCCGGGAAGTGTTATTTTTCCCAGAATTGTCGTGAATTGTTGATCTATGCGGTCGTTGGTTATCCATCCTCACGAGCAACACCCTCAACAAATTTCTTTTGGTCCTTTAGTGGCCGGGGTTGAATGGGGCAGGGTTTGAAGAGGGTCGACCAGCCCTGCATGCGGTTGATGTCACTTTTCGTTCGCCATATACATCATAGGCGCGGCAAAAAATTTGGCAAATATTGGCTTTAGCGGTTCTAGGTCACGGAGTTGATCTGATAGTTAAAAAAACTGGAAACTATTTTGAATTTATAATTTAAGCGTGATAGGGGTTGAGTTGTAGCTTATGAAGTTGGTTCACGGCTCAGTTAGACTTTTAAAGCGTCTAGTAGTCAGTGAAAACCCGAATAAATCCGAAACTCCCATGGATTTCTTTCTGTTTTAGTCTTTGATCCACCCTACCCAAAACTTGATCAATAATGGCAATACGGTTCATATCTAACCAATATTCTTCCCTGGATTGGCCAAGGGTATTGAGGGTTTGTTGGCCCTGAGACGGGGCTCCCCCCAAGCGACCTCTGTGAAACCTGAACCCCAAGCGTCCAGGCGCTGCCCCGCAATTCCAGACTGCTCCCCCCTCCGGCATCGGGGTCCTTCAAGAAATTTACTTTTTCAACAAAAACTCGATAGCCGGGAACATTCTATTGGTTCCCGCCATTTTTGCATCCTCTTCAGCTCTTTTCCAGCCAGTTCCAAAAAATCCGCTTCTCAAGTTCTCCGAGGTTCGGCTCAACCGAGAACAAGGGCTCCACCTTTTTTCATTCGGCGAAAATCCAGGAGGACCGAAGATGGGCCCTTCACTCGCCTCTTCCAGGGCCTCGCTATCCAAATTGGCTACACTAGAGAAGGGCCCGGAAGTGGAAAACAACCATACTCCCCGCTTTCGAGCATCGTTTCGGTTCAAAACTTTTGTTTGGTTTTTACTTAGACGTGCCTAGCTAAACGCTTCGTTTATCATCCTAGATTTCGAGCAGCTGGTGGTGAACGTGACCAAAATAATTCTCCGAACTGGATGATGGATTCCCAGTTTTTAAACGCACATGTTCTTGGGACCCATCTCGCCATTTTGTCTTTAATCTAAAAAGCTTTTTGTTATCGAGTCATAAATGTCTTTTGATATTTGGATTCCGACTCGGCGGACTGAATTCCGACGTTTTGATTCGGGATCTATACGGTTTCACTTAGCCCCTCCTCCACTTTTAGATCCAGTACGAAGATTATTTCTCTCGCTTTGAACTCTCGCTGATCGAAAGACATGAACGTTCCATTTTTGCTTTTCTTGTTGAGTAGGCACCTCGTGAAGGTTTTGTGTGTGGAGCATGAGGGGGGAAGGGCCCAGCGTGCTGCTGGATGAGGGTTGTGCTGTTGGGACTCATCGATCCCCCTATGGCCCTCCGGCTTCTCTAGTCCTTTAACCGGCTGTGGGGGCCTCAGCCGTCTCTAAAGGGCCCTCGCCTCGGGCCGCTTTTCCTCTCAAAAACTTCTGCCATCGCTACAAATGCCCCCCTTGCACACGGCTGGGGGCCAAGTCCAGAAATTTGGCCCCAGGGAAAGAGCGGCCAAGAAGTATTTGAGAAAGAATGGAAGCTCATGGGGGTTGAGTGCTAGCCGTGGGAATTGTATGGAAATGGATGATGTTGGAAAAGAACTGGGTGGAAATGCTGGGGTTGGCAGATTTTTTTTGAGAAGAAGTTTTTTTAGCGTAATCATAAGAGTTTTTATTAGTGTCTAGTGAGCGCCTTTCAAAGAGTGTCCGCAAGAATCCCTGGCAGATGTTGATACCTGCCAATGGATAGAGAACTATAAAAGATCGACACTAAAGGTAGCTAAAAGAACTCCTTTGGTTAATTCATATCATCCCTGCCATGAATTCGAATATCACATTCCTGATTCGCCATTTCCCATCCTTCTGATTTTCCATCTACGTTAGTAACTTGTCATTTTGTCTCGCCACTTTGCCCCGGATGTCATTGATGCCAAATGGCCCCTTGTGACACGACCAAATACAACTCCTGTTAGATCGAATCTGCGATAAAAAGGGTATTCTTGCCCCCCATCCGACAACCCCCTCGGCCACAGCCAAAACATTTCACGCGAAACAGTTTACCACCCCGCCCGCCCCACAAATCTGCGAGCCATCCCCCTAGATTTCGGCACCGATATAAGCCCCCCAGTCCACCCTACCCAACCCTAAAAATTGATCCCAGATCTTAGTTCAGTGGCCCATTGTCCATTCAGGACCCATCCTCAAAAGCCAATTCTTCCTTTTCACCGGTCTCCAGGAGACTGCCCTCCATCATTCCCAGAGAATGTAGCGAACATGGAAAAGCCTCTTTTTTGCCTCCACTCACTCTCAATTCGGAAAAAATTCGAAGGCCTCCTGCGATTTTGCATAAATTTGTTGGGCCTCCACACGGGTGGGCCGTCCACTGCTATGTAGAGCTAACGAGGGCATTCCTTTTCCTGGTCTTTTGTCTTCAGAATTACCTTCTTGACTTTTAACTCTGACTTTTATTATCTAGTTTTTGATACTTTTACAGATCGAAATGACAGCCGACGAGTCTGTTCAAGAGAATTACCAGCCGGTTGTTACAAATGGCAAGCTTTTATAGGGGTATAGAAGCATATAGCTAAATGCTCTTTAAATATTTAAAATTTCCTTTCCCCTTAGAATCTAACTAAATAACTATTTTCTAGGGCTCGATAGCCCTGGTGGGTCCGGCACGTCATCTCGTCCAGCCTCACACGCGTCGCCAATGCGGAATTTAAGGTAGATTAAAAATGACAAATAGAAAAAGATTTTATTTTAGCTCCGCATCTGGTGGACTCTACGTCAGTGCTCCCGGAAAAATCATATTATTTGGCGAGCACGCTGTAGTCTATGGAAGGGTGGGTTTTGGGATTTTGGAACCAGGCCAGGATGGTGACAATCAAATGTTTTGTCTTGGGAGTGGAGCAGATGGCATTGAAAGACACGATGGGCTGGCAATCTAAAAATTCTAAGGGAAAACGGGGAAATCAGTGGTTACTATGGTGCCGACATGGTCATAGTTTTCGCAATTTTCGGCGAGTAAAAAAACAATAAACAATGCAACTCTTCGTTTTTCACAAAATTTTACACCCCTTGACTCATCGCGGTGGAATTTAGGCTTCTTGAATATCCTTAGAGTATATAGAATTTGGGCTTAGCTTTATTGCATTTTTTCAGACGGCAATTGCCGGATCAATCGATTTGCGCACGTATGTCTCCCTATTCACATCAGCTGATGGCCGAATCTACCTGTCATTGCCGGACTTGGGGGTGGAGAAGACGTGGATGCTCAAGGATCTTCTCAGGGCTGGCGAGCGGCTAGCATGTAAGTTTTAAACACGATTTTCACTAAAAAGTGTGCTCCGGAACGTTCAATGATTCAAAAAAGCATTCGTTTATTTCATTTCAGCCGAATACCCCGTCGAAGAGGATCAAGCTCCCTCGCTAGAAGTGCTAGTTCCTATCGCGCGAAAACTCTCCGGCTCTTGCGAAGACCAGTGTGGCGTTCAGCACCTGGCCATTCTCGCCTTTTGGTACCTCCTCCTCGGCGTCGTCCATCGGAAGAGGTATGTAGACAAGCCTTGCTTCACGTTTTCTCCTTATTACCTCTCTGGCCCACTACAAAAACGGCTCCTAACATGAGTTTCACGGCCAATGCATGATATTTGTTTGTGAATTCACGATTTTCCGGGGTTAAGGGATATAGAGCGTTTTTGGTGCTCAAAATTAGGGTCTATCGGTTCTGAAAACGAGTCGACTACGCGCCAAACCTGAGACAAAACTAATAATTAATAATGCTTCTATCATGTGGTACTTTGACTGGCTATACTGTCGTGTTTGTGTTTTTAGCTCGGACAGTCTGAAAGCTGCGAAGAAGGACGGCACTCTCGGCGACAAGGCACCAGGAATCAAGAACAAGTTCGTGTTGCTTCCTTTCACTCTTTATGCATGTTTCTGCATGTTTTCTAGCACCATCAACCTTCGAGCGTACTTTTGTTGGGATGTATTCTTTCGGAAAGATCGTAGCAAATTTTCGGGTAGCGGCGGAAAATTCAAAATTAAATCTATTCCTATTTTGCATGCTTTCGTGCAGTGCAATAACATCATCCCCGACTCCATCCACCATTAAACCAGCATCTTTTTTATCAGATTTATTGGACCTTTTAAACAATGTGACTTTCAGGGACCTGCTTGCGGTAAAGTGTACGGTACGATTCAAACTGCCATCTTGTGTGGGTCTCGGAAGCTCGGGTAATATAACGAATCCGTACGCTAACCTAGGTTATTTAGGTGCTTATTGCGTGTGTATTGCCACTGCTCTTCTTCAAACTGCCGGCCTTATCCCTCCTCCATCAATTCCGGTAAGCTTGTTTTTCCGGGCTATTTTGCCAAATTTTTCATTAGAAACAGGTTTCCTGCAATTCGACAAATAGCGTTCCTTCGGGAGATTTTGCATATTTACACCAAGTTTGCTTGGAACCGGAAATAAAAACTTTAGAATCCTCCTATCCGCTAGGTCGGATAAATGTTCTTCATTGGACTTTCGAAAACCTGAATACTATAGTTCTAACAATTCATTGGGTCGGGCGCAAATCAGATAATCTTATCCGATTTTTTCCAGGGGATAGTTTTATCTTTATCGATTTCTTTACATCTCTATTCCTAATACCATCCCTTGTTCTAGACCGACGACGATGGTACGTTGACGTGGGAGGAAAAAGATCTGGATACAATCCGAAAATGGGCCACCTCAGCGGAATCCCTGATCCATGGTCGCGCCTCCGGCCTCGATGCGGCCGTCTGCACCTATGGTAAGCGACACCTTACATTCTTATGGCCCCTACCTATCGCATCCTTTTTCCGACAATAACCCCTTCTATTTCGCCCAAAAAGAAACCTTGATCAGCTCGTTCTCTCTCTCCGGACCCCTCTATTCCACCCACCATCCCAGTATCCATACCCCTTGCCCCATCGTTACCGTGTGGCTTTTGCTTCCCATACCGAGTGTTTGTCTGGAAATGGCCAACTGGCTGGTCGCCGCCACTTGCTTACAACTTCACCCCTGACCTTAAAATTACACGAGAAGATTATATGTGTTGAAAATGCGGTAATGTGGGCCTTCTAGACGTACTAGCCTTGGATCTAGGAAATTATTCTAGCTAGGGAGGGGTATGAAGGTAGATTTTTTATAGTTTAGTTTTTGCACACGTCCGCTTGCTAACATTTTGCAGTATTTTAGCAAATGTTAAGTTGTTTCGATTTATTACAAAATACTTGATCCCGGGGTTTGTATTGCCACGCACACCCGCTGCGCCACCTAATCCTGAGTTTCACCCAATTGCCTAGCGCATTATTGCCCGCCATTGCTTCTGACTGGGTTATTGTAGTGGCACTATATTGCCTCTGATACCGTAACCTTGGCTAAGAGTGGTTTAGAGGAAATATCATAGGTTTAAAGATACTTTTCATATTAGAGGAATTACGGTATTTTCGGTAAATAGGTGAAAGCAAGCCACAAACCTGAATAACAGCCAGCCGGCCGGCCGCAATAAGCCTTGCGCGCACAGTAAAACTGTAAGAAAAAAATATACCGGAGAAGAATGTGTGTGTGACGAGGCCCGTACCCTTCCAGGCTCCAAGCTCCGCAATTATGGCTGGCAGTCAATCAGCCACCTCGCGTTTGTTGGATGCTACGGTAATTTGCGTGCCGGGCCCCTTCGACCCGGTCGTTTTTTGGTGGCTTCTTGTGGCCGTCCGTTTTTCCTCGTGTGTGAACTCGGCTCTTGCCTGGCTATACCGGCCGCGCTTCGCTTTCCTCACCCTCCACCCAAGCACCGCTTTTTTCGCCGGGATTCGTGGGCTTTTTTTTGGATTTTGTGGATTTATTAAAAAAACCCTGCGGGTCCTTCTTCCAGCTTTGCAATGTTGTATTTTAACACTCAGTAATTGGAAATTGTGCTTCAATTTTTCTGTCGAAAATGTGATGGTGGTCGAGGGTGACGGAGAGGCTTTCAAGTTCAATTCTTATTGATTACCATAAATTGGGTGTAGCACTGAGGCGTAGTATTCAAATGAGGCTTGTCTACGTCCCCCAGTTACCACGTCATCTCCCCCCATCCCCCCTAACACCCTTCGTGATCTGCCGTATTTCTCACTCATTCAACATTAAATATTTCGGGTCCCCCTGGCATGAGCTTCTTCACTCTACCCGGCCCCTATCCCCGATACTTTATTCTTCTTCTCTGTTCTGGCTGCCGCCTGGCTTATTTCTTGTCTGGGACCTTTCGCGGGCCATTCCCCAGGGTCTCGCTTCCCCACCAAGACTGGAGTAACCTGGAAATTATCAAAAAACCTACAGCTGAAACCTATTTTTCAGGAGGTGTCGCCAGCTACAAGCCCGGCACACCCATTGAGCATCTCAAAAAGTGAGTGGCGCGAGAAATCCTTTAAAAAATTCTTTTTAGCTTGCCAGAATTACGGGTAATCTTGGTGAACTCAAAAGTGGAGAGGAATACGTCGAGGATGGTGCAGACAGTCAAGGAAAGGCTCAAGAAGGTAAGGAATTTACCAAACCAAATTTACGAATAAGTTTTAGTTTCCGGAGGTTGTCGAAGCTATTTTCACGTCCATAGACGCGATTTCAAGAGAGGTAAGGTTTTCGCAAAAGCTTTTTTCGAAAAATAGATTTCAGGCGGCCAAAATCTTGCACCGACCGGAAGAAAACGGTGAAGGTGGCCCAAGCGAAAATGGCGGATGCTCTGAGCATGACCACCACTCGCTGCAGGTATAATCTTAAGCTTGGTTTTCACGATATTCCCTTCCTGTCTATCCTATATTTTTCTACGTATTTCCACTCGGATCGTTTCCCTCGTCTGTCCTGTGTCTGGTTAGCTTTCCAACAAAAAGTTTTGCCACAACCTTTGGGTTTTTGTTTCTCCTCAAAGGCTCCGCTGTTCATTACTGCTTTAAAGGGACTAGGAAGGAGAAATTATGCTAATTTATACATTGGCTTTCTTCCTAGTCCCTTTAATTCTCAATGGTCTAATGCCAACCACAGCTTTGTCGGCGCTAAATAGTGTTTGTGGGGTGTTGCAGGCGAACATACCTTCCATCAAGATGCGTTGGCTGTCGAATGACGGAGGTCTCTCATCTGATGGCGATCAAAACTCACTGCAGGTGCAAAATCAAAATTCTTAGCCCTCGCTCCATCCTCATCCTCCACTATCTTTTCGAATCTCCCCACAGCAGTACGGCGGAGTCTTTGAGGATAATAGGCAGTTCACAAAGAAAAATCTCACGCGAAATAGCACTGTTTTGTTACGCAGCCTCGTGTGAAATTCTAAAAATAATTGCACGTAATTTCAATCGCTTTGAGCGGGCGCCCAAATGATGATGAACGTCTAGGCTCTGTGCTCTTTCCCCCCTAACCAATTTCCCTTTTTATTGAATGTTAATCCATCCCTCAATCCTCACCAGGTGCCGAATCAGCGCTCGATGGCAGTCAGTGTAGGCATTCTCAGCAAAAATACCTTCCTAACTGGGCCATTCCTGCTATTTCTTTCGGAGAAATTTCGGAGATTTTTATTCAAGTTTATTTAATTGATTGGAATGTCCCAGCAGCTTTTGAAATTTCAGTTCCGCTAACGCCCCCCAAAAATTCTCGTGCTTCTGTGCGCACCTCGAACAGATTGAATCCAAGGCTTTTGCTAAGGCTCGGGAATTGCGGGACGTTTCCTTGGTTAAAAATAGGAAATGCAGAAGCCTTGTTTCTAGTTAGAGTCGTAGTGTTCTTATTTTATCGGTAGACAAAAGTCTTTTTCATTTTGACACGTAGTTGAATTACGCATAGATAATAGTGGGTGCATTTTACTATGATTTCCATGCGAATTTTCGAAAACCACAGAAATGAAAAGAATCAGGGTCTAATTATTAATGAGAAAATGACTTTCGCAAAAATGATCGCCCGATTTTAATTTTTGTAGAAATTGTCCTTATTTCTCTAATTTTCTGGAGGATTAGAGACATTACCCCAGCTTTTCCCGAGCCTCTAGAATCTGTTTCCGCCTTTGTGACCCGTGTTATCCAAAGTGTGGTCCTTTTCTAACAAGCTCCGTTGTTCAGCCTACTCGTGGCGGTTCGGTTCGATCAACATCGCTGGCTTCGTACGTGGCCGGTGGGAAACGAGGTTCATCCGCATCAGCCATCTCCGCTGCTTCTGAGAGGGGTGAACATGCCGACACCTTCACCAAGCTCAATGTGAGTGTTTCGTGATCCCCCGCGCTTGGTCGTCAAACAGTATCTCCCCAAGATATTTTTTTTATTAAAGCCCGAAATTCACGATCCCTCCGATTCGCAAGTGCTAATTTGTCCATGCTAACTGAAATGGCAAAACTAAAAGCAACGGAACACGCACCTTTTGTGAAAACTAAACTCTTTTCCAGAAAAATACAGGGTTCTGAAAAAAAAGGGGGAGAATTCATAAGTTAAAAAATTTTTTATCCGGTTTATGCTCGATCTAACAAAAATCCGTATATTAAATGTGCCCATATATTTTCGCTCACGGCTCCCCTCGCGTTGTGTGCCTGGAGCAGTGCTAAAGTGGACACGTGCTCATATCGCTATTGTAGCCAAAAATACCAACTGCTTTTTGATTGTTCGCTATCGCAAAAGTGGCTTAAAAGTTAGCAAGAAATTTTCTTAAAGATCAGGACTCCGGACACGTATGCTTTATGAATTTAGGACAGTAATACGACGCCAATTCAACGTTTATAGGATCTATGCCGTATCAACAATCAACTGTTGATCGGGCTCGGAGTTGGACACCCGAAAGTTGAACAAATTTGCACGACCCTCGCCAGGTAATTTGGGGTATACGCATGTGAGTAGTATTTAGGTATGGCATTCACCCCAAGATGACTGGCGCTGGTGGCGGTGGATCAGTGTTCGCCTTTTTGAAGCCTGGTTGGTGGATGCCTTAGTAAAGCCATGACGGGGGTGGAAACAACTTTTGTCTTATAGGGATTGGCTGTGCCTAACCAATCAGGCCATCGGGTAGAGCATCGAAAATTATACTCTTTTCGGGATTTTCGGGATTTTTTTCGGGGTTTTGTGAATGCCATCCCCTAAAGCCTCGAAAAATATACTAAGATATTTATTTTCAGCCCGAAGTAACTTAATATAAATTAGTTCTTAAAAAAACAAAGACATGAGCTGGTTATCAAGTATAGGCTTAAGGTGACGACTGCTTTCGGTATTTTCGACTTTTTTGTCGGGATTCATGAATGTCGTTCGATAAAGCGTGGAAAAATACACTGAGAGATTTCATCTCAGTCCAAAATACCATTTTTACAATTATTACTTTATTAAGCTAAAAAGTTTAATTAATTAAAAACCGTTGCAAAAAAGGTTTTTTCGGGCTGAAATTAAGTCTCTCAGTATAATTTTTGACGCTCTATCAGATGGCGATTCCTTTTACATCCGTTTCTAATCGTTAATTCAGATACGCCTCCAACGTTGTTGGAAATGATCTCAAACGAACTGTCAAAACTGGGCTATGAGGTCTGGCAGCCACCGTTGGGCGGCCCAGGAGTGGTAAGTGCTCAAAGCTATACAATACTCAAATCTTATTTTCTTAGGTCGAGCACTCGCGAAAGCCGGAGCTGTTCCAAACGAATACGTCTATGTATAACACGCCAGTGGCCAAACACAAATAGTCAGCTGCGACTTTTATTTGGTAGGTACCACTAATTCACATTCATTAAACTCACGGTTATTACAATACATTTGACAATTTTGCATTATATAGTTTTTCAGAAAACCCTCCAACGACGTCCCCCCCTTCCGATACGCGGTGCTGCCCTCCCCCCATGGAAACACAATTCCCCCCTATTGCAGAAGTTCAGTTCATCTCCTGAAATTTGTTTACCCCCGTCCCCTACGATCCCGCGTGAGCGCCATTTTGCTCATTCTCCGCCCTCCTTGCTCTAGTGGGTCGTCCCCCCATTTGAAACCCTCCCTCTCGCATCTCCAATACATTCATTAGGAGACGTTCAACCAGAGGGAACAATTCCCCCATTCTATTCCCTAAAAGACAATTCTTTCCTATCCCCGTCGCAATAAGCTTTTCTGTGTGGCTTCTAACTTCTAGGAGTGTTTGATTGAAAGGCGTCGGCTGCCTCTGCTGATATTCATAACTGAAAATACTGCTTGTAGTTAAATTCAAAAAATGATGATTTGAACCATTAAAAAGCAGAACTTCGCCGCCTTTTGCTATAGAAATATATCCAGATTTCAAATAATTTCTGTGAGCTGGTGAAGGAATTCCCGCTTCTTTCAGCTTCTTCGCCAACTCCATCACAGCCCCCTTTCCTTTTCGAAATCTCGGCTCTTGAAGATCCATTTCGATACACGTAGTCAGGTCCAGTCCGATCCTGATTTTCTTTTAGACCGGCCTTTTTCTTTTTTGAATTTAACTTTATTCTAGTTTCGCCCCATCCCGACCCAATGGGTCTTGATAGTCAATTTTTATGTTTTCTGCCCATCAGAGTAATTATGAAATCCTATATTGAAAGATGATATTCTCATTGCAAAGTTGCCGAATAAATGAATATTTATTTTCGCTGCGCAAAAGCATTGTACGTAATCGTACGAAAACGCATTGTATTCATGGCACCGGAACTGCTTAACTTCCCGACCAGTCCCGAGGGTCGCAACGTCGCAGCATTCAGATGCCACTTTTTTAGAGAATAGCTAATAATTTTGACGAGTAGTTAGGGAGTTTGGCTTCTTCTATTTTCTTGCGAAATTGTACAAAATGTATCACTATTTACTTAGATAACTGCGCCTGCGAGATCAATATTTTGATAATTTTTGATGCTTGGTGCATCGGTAGCACACCTCCGTCCATGAAGTCCTCCACACTTCGGCTTCGAAGCGACGGTAACCAGGTTTTAACCGAGTGGTTCTTCGTTTCGCGCGTTCTCAGCTGATCCGCGCAAGCCGTTCAGACGAAGCGCATATCAAGTTTGTATTTACAGATTCACTATTTATATCGGCGCTAGCAGACTTCTAATAGGTAAAAACATCAATGGGAAGGTATCACCCGCAAATGCCGTGGTGAAAAGCCGAGCCCTGGCCCGTCCCGTTTTTGAAAATAAGAAACCTCCCGAATTTTTTCGCCGCGATTTCGGAAAGTATGGACGCAATTCTTAAATTCCTTTTCCTTTCATCGGTCACAATGATCGTCTTTTTTAGCAAAATCACAGTTATCAACGCGGTCTATGTATTGGTCAAGAAAAACGGCTTCTTGGCTTGTGAAATAGCGCCTTTTTGACATTTAAAGTAACCGTAGGCCCACCATGGGGAATATTTATTATTCCTAAACTTTATTTACCAAATATATAAAGCTTTTACGAAGTTATGTTGCCTTCAACACTTCGGTCGTTCCCCGACATTCCTATAGACGTCGCGGTGTTGCGTGCTGCTCCGCGCAATGAGCGCTTCATTTTCCATTTTCCATTTTCCAATCATTTCCCGGCATTTCTCTTTTCTGTTCCGTTCGTTGCACGCTGCAACAGATCTTTCCTTTCGCTGTGGTTTGGCGTTTGAACGATTTTCTTTATTTACCTGTTCAACTTACCTTGTTTGCGCTGAAGTGTAGGGTATTCTTGGCGAACATTTATTCTTCTCCTTTCTGGTTATCTTATCTAGTTTTCTTTTCCTATAGATACTTTTCCAACAACTTGTACTATTGTATTATCCGCTAAGGAGCCGACGCTAGCGTAAATTTGCAGTTTTCGACAAGGTTCAAGACAGGCTTTACTACTTCAATTTCCCCACTTTAGCTCGTTCTTGAGCAGTTTTCTTTTTCTAAGTTACTTTAGTTAGTTCACTTTTAGATTCATAGATTTCCTTTTATGTTCTTCCATGGGCTTTTTGGCTGGTTTTCTTCACTCCTTTCTGTTTTCCATTTTTTACACAAAGCGCTTGCAGGATAACGTGAGCATGGACGAGGATACTGGATTTGCGACTTTGCAAGCTTTCATTGGCACCTTGCGTGCTGATCCTTCGAAGTTGCATCATCCCCGCTTGGGCTTCTTCCGCGACTATCTTGTCGAGTAAGTGATTGTAAATTGGTATGTATTTCTGCTTTAGTTTGGGCGCCACGCTTCCGCCGAAACCAGCGGAGCCGAAGCCTGCCGAGGCCAAGAAGCCAGCCAAGTCTGCCAAAGAACCCGAGGCCAAGAAGCCAGCCAAGTCTGCCAAAAAGCCCAAGGCCAAGAAGCCAGCCAAGTCTGCCAAAGAACCCGAGGCCAAGAAGCCAGCCGAGGACCCCAAGTCTGCCAAAGAACCCGAGGCTGCCAAGGAGGATGATATCGTGAGCTTAGTGCTTTCTTCACGTTAGCCTTGCCTAGGAGGAGATCCCCGAACCGGAATTGGATCTGTCTGGCGTTATCGAGCCTGATCCCAAAGGAGAATTGCCGGTGGGCGATCACCGATCGCAGGTGTGATTGAAAATTTGCAACTTATTTTTTATATTAGCTATCTGACGAGGAAAGCGAGAAGTTCGAAGCGGCCAAGGCTAAAGGAATGCAGGCTTTCAGCGAAGGTTGGTTGCTTTGGAAAATTTGAAGAACTTTTACAGGTAACTTCAATGATGCCATCGAACATTTCACCGAGGCCCTGTTGATCAACGCGTCGGCCATTCTTCTTGCTCGTCGAGCTTTGTTAGTTTTACAGCTTTGCGGTTTACCTTGTATTTTTAGTGCTCTGATCAAGATCAACCGTCCAAATGCTGCCATCGCCGACTGCTCGAACGCCATCGACATCAATCCTGATTCGGCTCAAGGTTACAAATACCGCGGCCGCGCCTATCGGTTCGTTTTTACTACATTGACCTATGTCTATTGTTTGTGTTTCGCCTAGATTTTTTCTTTTAGTTTGCTCGGCAATTTCCGTAAAGCTCATCAGGATTTGGTAACTGCCTGCAAACTCGACTACGATGACCAGGCGAACGAATGGCTGAAGGAAGTGGAGCCGAATGTTGGTACTTTCAGTTTCTTTTAATTATTTATTCCCGAGTCTCGTATGGCAAGAAATTTGTAAGTACTGCGGCTTATTCGGCTTTCTTCTTTCGGCATAACCTTTTTCCATTAGGGCCGATTGGGGCTTTTTCCTGAAATCGGGGTTTTGCACCGCTCTATTTAGCTGACCTTTGGGGGAAGTCCCATCCATTCACGGCAAGAGAACCAATACGGGTGGCAATGGTCTCGTGGTTTTTCACCCGCTAAAAATCTTTGAGCTGCTTTAGTTTACTTACCTGCTCTGGGCCTTGTTGTGATAGGTGCCGCCACCCTTGCTTGCTTCATAGGGGTTATTGGGGTTCTTTCTAACGTCGGTGGAGGCTCAGTTCCAGTGTAACAGGATTTCCGATATCTAAAAGTAGGACCAGTCAAGAGCTAAAGGATGAAAGCTTACTTGCATCTAAACTTCTCGTCTTTGCTGACATTGTCATAGTCACTGTCTTCCAGTTTAGCTGTGGTGGGCCGATGCTTTTCTAATTGTTCATCCTCCGCTTTTTCGTCATTTTTGTTCGCACCCTTTTTCTTCTTCTTCTCCTGCTCCACTGACCTTTCAGCGGATTTGGGTTTCTCGATGACTGATTCCACCTAAAACATTGGTTTTGGATGGACCGTGTTGCCTTTTTAGCGCATTTTACTATTGCACTTTACCTTTTGCTCTTTATGCTGTAGGGGGATTGGCCTAGCACTTTCATCGTCGAAATTAATGCCTTCCTCGGCGTAGCACGATTTCCGATATTTGCATTTTAATTTTGGTGAGAAAGCACCAGAAAAAGATGCGGTTGGGGGCGGGATTGGTCGCGGGGCCTAAAAAACGCTATGAAGTCAGGTTTTGAATTTCTTTTAAATCAATCAAGCAAATTACCTCCGAATGGACAATGTGTAGCTCTCCAGTCTCATAGCAAGATTTTCGATATTTGCAGGCTAGCTTTTTGTCCTCTTCTTTCAAATGTTTCTGGAAATTTGTCAGTTTTTATTCTTATTTTTTTGCTGCGTATGCCCTCGAATAGTCATATATCAAATTAAAAGCTGTACTTCCCACCTGTAACCCAGTTTCATACTGCTTTTCCACATGCTTATTGAAATCGTCTAGGACATCGGCATAGCTGCGGTCGATTTCAGGCACTTTTCCGGAAGTGTAGCATGATTTCCGATATTTGCAGGTCATCCGCTGCTGTTCAAGGGTCTCAAATAAAGCTGTGTTGAGTCCCAGGTGCTGTATGGTTTCCTCATAGTTGCGCTGAATCTCGGGCTCTGGCTCTTTAGGGACCTCATCGAGCTTCTTGGATTTCTTTGCAGTTTTTATTTCCGTAGCTTCCGGAGGGGCTTGGTTTGGGTCACGTTTTGCTTCTTTCGTTTTCTTTTTCTTTGATTCCAGTTGTGGTTTTGCTACATCCGCTTCTGCCGACTTTTTGCTAGTTTTTTTAGGCTTTATCTCGGGCTCAACTTCCTCCACGATTTCGTTAACCGGTTCTGGAATTGGGACGGGAATTGTTGTTTCATCCAACATTTCCTGGCTTTTCTTGCTTTTCTTCTTTTGTTCTTTCTTTTTGGGTTCAGGCGCTGGGACAGGGATAGGTTCCTCGTTGTCTGGAGGTGCATCCTCCTCCTTTTTTAGGACTTGTTCCTTTTGATAGCGCTTGCTCTTATGCTGGATCTGAAAATTCTCGTTAATTTTGGCAAAGAATAATCGTATACCTCCTTTTCGACCTTCACCTTTTCGGCCATTAGCTTTTCTCTTTGTTGTTTTGGGGTCTCGCTCTCCTGGACTTGGGCTTCTACTGCTCGTTTGGAAAGCATTGCTTCCCGTCTGGATGCGAGCTTCTCCCTGAAACCTTTTTATTTATTGTCTTGACGGTAGCGGTACCGCCTGGTTTGGCGTCTCAGAAGCCCTGCTGCATCGAGAACGCGGCGTCCTCGTAACCGCGAAGGAACAGCCTAGAAAAAGAAGGTCATTAGGATTTACTTTATTTATACTCGTTCGATGTTCCTCTCTTTTCGGATTTCTTTGACAGCACTGATCCCATCTGACGCTGCTATCTTCTCGTAACATGACTTCCGATATTTGCAAAAATGTTTAAGGGCCACAGCACTGGTAGGGATGGATACGTCCTCTTCGCTTTTTGCGGATTGGGCATTTTCCTAAAATAAATTGCTGCGGGCTATTTTTCATTAACCTGTGGTGGCGCCAGGTCGGGTAGAATTCCAGTATCATAGCAGCTTAGGCGATATTTGCATCTGTAATTGATAAATTTAGAAAGCAAACCAAAAGCAATTGTATTCTATTTTAATCGGGGGTTTTGGCTCACTTCATCTGCAGAGTTTGGTTTGGATCGTCGATAAGCTTTTCAGCCGTTCCACTTTCCTCTCTTGGCTCGAAGAAGTTGAAATTGAGGCCGTAATCCGATAAAGACGATGCGGCGATCTTCGGGACAATTCCCGTATCGAAGCAGGATTTCCGATATTTGCACCGGAATTTCCGCTGGCTTTCGCTCAAGTCGTCTAGGTTCGGTTCGGTTTCATCAGCTTCTTCTCTTTCTGCGCCAAAGTATGCGGTCACATCCGGTAGACCCCATAATGATTGTTCAATTTCGGGTAATTCTCCAGTGTCGTAGCAAGACTTTCTGTACTTACACGACAGTCTTCGATTGTTTTCTTTATCAATGGCTTCTAGTCGCCGCTCTACCTAAAATGCATTTTCTAATAGTACGCGGTTAAGAATCTCTACGGAGCGCGAATACTTTTCAAACTTTGACATACTTTAAGGCTATTGGGCAACTCTCGAGTCTTGGCCTCTTCGTCCTTTTCCTTGACTTTCTGTAGTGTCTTCTCGGCGATCTCCTTGACCGTCCTTTTATGACCACTGGGTGCTGCCAATTTACCACTAAATGGACGTAAGCAAGAAATTCTTGTACGTACCTGAAGAAGCTCAATTTCTCGTCATCCTCGGTATCCTTTTTTGAAAAATCGATCCCCTTTTCTTCGTAGCAGGCTTTTCTAAAACAAGATTTGTTGGATATTCACTCTCACCTGTATTTGCATTTCAATTTTTGGGCTACTACGCTGTCGTCCTCATCAGATTCGTCGAATTTCTGATTTGACGTGGTTTCAGCACCATTACTAGTCCATGACCAATCCCATCCGTCCTTGATTCAAAATGTTAACGTACAAATTTCTGTACCACCTCGATTTCTGGCAGTGCACCGCTTTCGTAACAGGACTTTCGATATTTGCAGCTGAGCTTCTTGCCAGTGTCTTTTGGCGTATTAGCCTAGAAATTGAGATGATTGTTGATCTAGATCTAAGCATTTTCGTTATTTACCTCGATTTTCTTATCATCCCCGTTGTCTTCCATAGCTTCCTCCCGAACCTCGATTGGCTCCGTTTTCTGCTTTTTATCGGCGGATGCCGCGGAAGCAAAAATGCATGGCCAGAAGGTAATCTCGGTAGACGCAGTGGTGGGCTCTGTCATTCAATATTTTGCTTTGGGACTGAAGCTTACTGCTGAATTCGTCGACATTCTTTACGTTGAAGATTCCAATAGCTGGAAGGTGATTGGGGTGCACCTGTAGAGACTAAAATTATGCTAATCCCTGCCGGAAAACCTCGTTTTAAGGGCTTTATGTTTGCTTCTCACCTTTCCACAAAGATAGACAGTGTTTGGGGTGGCGATGTCTGACTCTCCGACACCCCAACAACCCGATAGTTTCGAGATCAGGGCCCGTAATTGGACCGTGGATCGGCCCAGTTCAACAACCACAAGCCCATCGGGTGATGCCATTAGTTCGTAGAGATCGCCAATTTCATCCAAGCTCATTTCATCAACTCCCAACTTGGATACGGCTAAGCAGCTGCAGTTTTTCGGGCTGATGTGGAAATAGTCTTGTAGCGCTAGTTTGCTCTACCTGAATATGTCGGAATTTTCCAAAATATCGTCGCAGCCCCATTTTCTCCACATATGGTCTTCACCTGGAATCGGGGTTCTCTAATTTGTTATTATTTGACTTTTCCTTGACTAGTCCGGGTCTTTCCGGTTGCTTTGGGCAAGCTATGTCTGCCTCCCCAGGCTCTGAGCCGCGGTGAGCTGCAGCTGTCAGCCCCGGCTTTTTGTTCCTTCTTATTAGCTTAAGGGGTTCCATGCCCCGTCTCCCTTTTCTTACAGCTCCGGCTTGTCAGGGGGTTTTTAACCCGACCCCCTGGCGTCAGGGAGCCGAACGGAAACCACCGGAGTCGAAAGTAACTTGTGAACAGAGTTAGCAATTGAAAATAGGCTGGAAATTTTTGGCGAATCAATCCCCAGCGTCAAAAAGTGCTTTCAAATTACCCCTCTTTTCGATGTCGCTATGGGGGAAGAATCCATCGACCAGATCCCATTTTGCCACTGCATAGTCCGGCGCTCCCACAATAAGTACCCGTGTATCTAAATTATCTTGTAAATTGATTTTAGTGTTCCAAACCCTGGCTGGCCTCTAAGGTGAATATGCCGAAGAGCAGCAGGAGTAATTGTCGTATCATCGCTGAAAGATTGGCTTAGATAGTTAGGCAGCTCTCTCTTCTGGGTCGGGTTAGTTTCAAAAGGGGTGATTTTCTAAGTTAAGCTAGCTCGCAGAAAAATAGCTGCTGTAAGCTTTTGAACTGTTTAACTGAAGTTGGAGTTGAACTGAAGCATAACATAGCTATTTACTTGCCCTCTGCGCTTTTTTGTTATTTAGCTGTTCGTACCTGTTGATCGTGAATAAGTGGATGGCTAATGCGATGACGGGAGCGACGGGCAGGGCATAGAGGGCCCAAGGAGTGCCCTCAGAGATCCTCCGATCGCCAACCGCCCCCCCGGCACTCCCCTTTCCTCACAGTCGATTTTTCTCCTCCTCTTCCGACCATCAGGGGGCACATGTGTCGGCGCCTCATGCATCCCCACAAACTAAGAGAAAGCCTCAGTGAAATGCAAACACCTTTTTCCCCTCAAATCCATCCAGGTACTCTGTTTGTCGTTTGGCTTGGGGACTCTGGGTTACTGATCCGACATGTTATCAGCTCAATTGCTGAAATACGGGTCAGGAAGGTTGCTTATATAAATAATACAAATTGATGCTGGTTTTTTACTGGGGAATTTGGGAGGAGTTACTCTACTGTCTCGAAGGCTGATGTGGGAATGACAATTTACTTTTTCTTTCAGGCCAAGAAGCTTATTGCCTACGACAATGCCAAGCTCCGTGTCACTCGCAAGCAAGAGCTTCTTGATCGTCGTGAGCGTGTGCGCAAGGCTCAAGAGGAGATGCAGCAGGCTCGTGAACAGGTTTATCGTTCAAGCTATTTCCAAAGTTTGTTTAGGCGCCGTATTATGGTTTTGAGAATGCCGACTTCTCCTGCGTCAGTGCATGTACTTTAATTTTACGGGAATTTTAGAACGCTGAACTGAAGGATTTGTTCAAGGACCCGGAGGTGATGGCGGCCCTCTCTGACTGCATCAGCAACCCAGACCACATCCACAACTATATTGGCAACGCAAAGGTTGTGAAGGTTTGTTGTTTGTATTTTGGTTTACTTGCAAAATCTTATTTGGCTTTTATTCGCAAAAGGCGAAGGTGGTTGGGATCTGATCCTGTATGTGTGCCGCTTAACGGCTTATAAAAACTAATATCATAAAACATTTTGTGCTCACTATTAAGACTGATTTTTCCAGGTCCTCCGACAGTTTCGTGGCTTCTATAGCGGTGGCACCGGCGAAATGAGCGGAGGCGTCGACGACGACTATGATGGCTATGTCGACGAGACCGCCGATGTACCTCCAGGCCCTTTGATCAGGGAGGACGGTGATGACATCCCTGACTGTAAGTTTTGGTTCTCATTTTGCAATATTACTGATTTAGATCCCCCGACTACCTCTTGCCGCTGTCCGCACAAGGCTCCGTAGCCGGACCTCGATTGATTTGTATTGTTTAGTTGTTTTGCTCTTGCCGTTGATTTTATCTTTTGTTTTCTTGAATGCCGTCCTGCTTTTTATCCCACATACATTCTAAATATTACTGAGTACACTTTCGGAATAAAATTTTATCGGCACGTTTTCATAATGTCACAACGGATTTAATGGGATGTTACAATGTGGGCTAGTTTTTATGGTCGCTCGTGAAAGAAAGAATGTTGTAAGGTATACTTTCTTGTTTTGCAGATTTGGCCACGTTCATGAAGTTCGGTCTAGACATTCCCGTTTCAAGTCAGCAATCCGATTTTGCCTTTTGCTTTAGATAATAATTATTGGACTGAATGTGACGGTACTAATCGGGATTGTAGAAGATCAGCAAAGAGTGGTTCCACGACGAAGAGTGGGGCGATTGATGTGTCTTTTCCTCGCTTCTACTACGACCGCCCAATCAAACATCGTGGTCGTTGTTGTGGCAACGTCGTAATATTCAGGCAATCTGCAAGTTTGTTCATTGTGATAAAATAAGCTTGTTCGGGGTTCTTTTAGCTTAGCCGTCAAAACACACACCTGTAAACCTTCCTCACGCGCTTCAAGCGTTTCGTCTTATCATCGTAGCGGCTAATGTCTCTGTAATTAGGCGTTTGCGTTTGCAATAAGAAAATTACCGGCTGGCGACCAAAACCAACGCATTCAAATCCCTTTGAATCTCGATTTCTAGCCGCCAGAAGCATGTTGATTGCAACTTATCATCTCTGAAAACGGGCCAGCTCACCAAAGAAATGGAATATACCGGCTAAGCCCAAGGGACCACGAGAAGTTACTCTCAGCGATACGATCGAACTTTTTGGTCTAAATTTTGCGCCATGATGAGCTGGAATGCGGCCATACCGTTCCATTCTTATCTCCAGTGCCACCTTTGTTAAAGGGCAAAATCACAACAAATTTCTCCTTGGTGTACATTCCTTGTGCGATGCCTGTAATTTGATGGTGGTATTTTACGTTTTGAAGGGCACATACGATCTGCCGAGAAGGGCCAATCCCAGATAAAGCTTTTCTCCTCGAGAATTGAGTCATCTGAGTCGCTTGAGTCGAGAGATCTGAATAATCGGTAAATTAGTCGAAAAGCAATATGTGGTGTGAGTTACGATATGTTTTGAAGTCTTACCGATTCGCCGAACGGTTTAGGCCAAAATTTAAAGCAAAGCGCTTCCTTTCAGGCTGCAATAAAGCTTCATTATATGTTTGGGATCGGTGCAACATCTTTCGTCTTGCTGGGCTGAAATATATCGTTTGTCATTCCTTGGAGATTTGTTTAATCGTTATATTTTTTGACTGGAGATTAGAGATTAGATCTTAATACAGGGCAATGTAAAGTCGGGAAACGCCCCGAATCCGAAAGGTATGGATTTCCAGTGGATTCCTCAAAGACTAGTCTAGAAATTCAATGGCAACCTGGTAAATAGAGTTTCAAAGACATATCCGGTTACAACGGTCGATTCAGCGGTAACCCTAAGAAAATGGGGGAGAGGAGGAATGGTAAAAACAAGCAATTAGTTGGGGGTGGAGGAGGCGGGGATGATGTGTGTGCTTCTCGTGTGTAGGCATACAGATTGCTGGCTACGCAAATAAAGGACTACTCTTGGCTTACTCGGAATAGTGAGTGCCTTAACATCGAATGAGCAGCCGGGATACGCTGTGTAAAGGATTCGATCCAGCTAGTTGTGGGAGTTATTTTTGGAGCATTGATTTGCTGGAAAGACATCAAAATCGCTCAGCAAATAAATGATACGATTTACAAAAATCTTCCAAGCAATGTTTGGAAAAACTTTTCTCATACATTTTTTTTCTATCACGGCTGCATACTGACCGAAGTACGTATTTGGAAATGGTATCTACCGTATTCCTGTGGTATAAGCCCAGGCCCGTACGGGAGCCGAGATTTCGGGGGGGGGGGGGCACCCACCCAAAAAAATTTTGGCGACCTCCCCTTCCCCGGTCGCCACTTTCAAAACATTCGAAAATAGCGACAATAACAGCGCCGCAGGCGAAAAAATTTAGAAATTCGCGTTCGTAACGCTTAACTTCGTGTGAAAACACAACGGAAATGGTGCGCGCAAGCGAAATTTGGTTCGGCAAAAATGGTGCACTAATGAAAACGAGCGCCACAGGCAAAAAAATTTTAGAAAAATAGGTTTTCTAGAAGTAAAAATCGTCTTGAAACAGTAGTAAACAGCGCCGCAAGCAGAAAAATTTTTGCGAAAAAAATCATAAGGGTCCCCCCTTATGAACTTTTCGGACTCGACCGATTTCGGGGGGCACCGGGGCCCCGGTGCCCCCCTCGTACGGGCCTGTATAAGCCCCCCTTTATTCTAAGCAAAAGGGGCAACAGGAAGACAAAAATAGAACTATAGGGAAAAGGGGGACAAGGGTTTCAAAAGTCGTATTGAAAGCATAAACGCAAAATCGACGCTAAAATCGATGTATTTCGTCAAAAAAGCCATAAATTTTACAAATAATTTCTCGGATTTCGTTGGCTGGAAAAACAATTTTGGCATTATGTAAAAGTATACGGTAGTTTGCTTAAAGCGGTTTACCATGATACTATGGCATAAATCTCGCTATTCTCCTACCACCCACAGAGAACACCCATCACCCCAGTAGTAACTCAGTAAAATCCCAATTACCCAGCTGGCTTCAGTGTTTACGAGTTCTTCAAGAAAAGAGCCAAAAGCCCAACCAACAACAGCCAGGAACTTGTATCTGGGTGACTGGTGGCAGTCGGTGGGTAGTCATAAACCCAGAACCCACAGCCACAGCAAGCAAAAGCCCCATCGGGACCCCCCAACCTATTCTCTTTTGCAGTTGGCCCTCATCCTTTCCGATCGACCTCTTTTTTGTTGGACACCCGGGGGGCATTGCGTTGAGAGCGAGGGACAAACTCTTCAGCTAGCCGCTTGTGCTCCTCGCTCGCTAGCTCTGCCTCAAGGCTCAGGCTAGCTGGGGGGTGCAGGTAAACATGACACCGCACTGGCTAGGCAACTCTTGGAAGGGAATAACGCTAACAGGATTTTGTAAGGAGAAACTGTCGGAAATGGACATTTCAAGGATTTGAAAAATTTGCTATAAACGGCTAGGAAGGGACCAGTCTTGTGGCTAATAAGAACCGGCCGAGGACCTCTAACACGCAGAAGGTATCGACTATAATACCTCTAAGCAAAATAGTTACTTAAAACATAGAAATTCAGGCAAAATTATTCTCACTCTAATTGACATTCGAAAATTCAAACTGATTTTGGGGCGTGCAAGGTACAAGATGCAGGCCGCTATTTTTTATTAGGTTCAAAACGTAATCAATTTTTTCGGGTGAATTAAATCAGTCAATTAGTGTATGCAAAATGGCTTTTACTCGAATGGGCATTTCGAAAATTCCAAATGGTTTTGTTTGGAGGAAATTAAACAGTTGCTTTCTAGGTACGAATGATTACTCCAAACTTTAAGATGTGGAAGACCGGAATCAAATTTCCAGTAGAATTTCGCAAGAACTACTTATTATTAGGTGCAAAGGACGATTTTCAATGTTCAGTTCCCGAATTTACTTAATTAATTAGTTACTTAAGTTGGTGTTTGGTAAATCCTGTTCAAAATCGACGTAATTCAGTGATCTAATTTTCGGAGGTTTGCTGTTAAAATTTGAATAGAAAACTTACTCAAATCCAAGCATCTTGAGTTGACAGGCAATAGCGTATGAGGAATACCCACTGACCGAGCTTCGTGCTGTAGAGGTCTTATGAATGGCCACTGGGTGTTCTCAAGGTAGACAAGCGGTTTTTCTGGTCTTCCCCCCCAGGAAAAGACGCCAACGAAAGGGTGTCTCGACGAGAGTGACAAAGTAGTGCCCTTTGCCTTCCGCGTGCCAGCTGGTCTCCCCGGCTTTAGGTCCCATCCACTACCCGGATAGAGTCTGTACGAAGAATGTCTTGCTCCTCATTTACCACGGATACTTTTTCGCTTGACAAGGAGAACGAGAAAGAGAGGGAGTGAGCTGTTTGGAAACTCTAGCCCTTGAAACACCACAGTCACCGAAAAAACGTGGTAGTCATGGGTATGAGGCGCAACACCTTTGAGAGCAGTATAGTCACGTTAATTGTTTCTATAGAAATACCGTAATGCCTTTCGAATAAGCCTTTATTTTCTAAATAAGCTTAAGAAAAGGGAGATCTCATATTTTTCGACGACCAAAACGCCGAAATTAGGAGGTAAAAAGGTTCTGAACTATTCCATAGCTTTTTACCATTTTAAATTTGTTATAATTAATCAAGGCAAGAACAGAACGGTATTTATTAGTATTTTTTGAGTTTTAGAGACATGCTCTACAGATGCTACCGAGTAATGAGCATTATGAGCGGAATTGATGCGCAAAATTTTACATTGATTGGCCTGCGATTTCTCTTCTAAAAACAAAATTCCTTTATCAAAAACCGTTCATAATAGGCAGTTATTTCCATCAAAAAGGCAGAAGAATTGCAGGGTACCCATAATAGTCCTGAAGGTCTGTGTGGTGGGGGGAAACAAGGCAAGGCAAGGCAGTACACGATCAGCATATACACGAAATTGCGTGGAATCACAAATGTACAAGGCACTATGAGTTGGGGGAAACAGAAGGCTGAGGATAATGATGGGCTCCTAGAAAGCAGTTCTTTTGCAAAGAGACAGCTATTTTTGGGGGGTTAGGGTTTAGACACGGCGTCTACGGACGGCGGCAAGTCTTTTGACGACTTCCGGCTCATCGGAACCGCTGATTTGTTGGATGAGCTTGGGGGTGACGGGGATTGGGACCGGCTGTAATTGGATGATTACGGAGTGTAAAGCTTTGCAGTACAGATTAAGAGTGATCATGGCTAACAAAGAGTCGTACGAGGTATGAACTTTGAGAAATTTTTTGCTCGAAGGCAAATATTCAGCTGTTTTTAACTAAGGTTGTTTGGAATTTTAAGCTCTATTGAAGGAGCTGTGTCAAACCGCAAAAGCTCCACAGAAATGCCAACTTTTGGAAGAATTTGTGGAATTTTCAAGTAGCTAGAAGTTTGATTTATATTCCATGCGTCTTTTCAGCTTTTCCTACCTTTCCATGGGGCAGACATGTCGCAGATTTTGCATGCTGACACATACCACATGTCGAACTATAAAATAGAAGTTATATGGGCAAAATCAATAACTATAAAATATTACTATTATCTTACCGGCAATTCTCCATCATCCACGGCGCGGCATACTGATTCTTGCAGTGTCCCATCCGTTCGAATGCAGGGCAATGAGGATGGCGATCAGTACAGTCTAAAGGTATCCCATTTAAAGGCCCGGGCTTTAGCCCTCAGGGCTCGATGAGCACCACCACCCGGCTGGAAGACAACAACGTGTGGAAGGGGGTCAAGTGGTTAGGGCCTGAAACGGGGATACGGTATCCACCATTCTGGGGGGCAGAGTTGTGTAAGTTGGGGGGTTGTGCAAAATGTGATGTGCCTTATTATACCCATCGCCGCCATATAATACAACCCATTTTTACCATCAGTTTTGTTGTAGCTGGGCGCACAGAGGCCACACGTCGCTTGACAGTACACCGACATGTATTCTGGCTGGCTAAAAGAAGCTGCGTAATTTTGGCTTAAAACGGAATACTTTCAATTAAAAAAAGTTATATAGAAAAAATTTTCTAAAACTGTACGCGTCGCATCCATTGAACAATTCCCAAGATTCGCAGCACTCATGTCGATTGAAGCAGTCGACGAAGAGTGGGGCGGCCATCTAGATTCGGCGTTTTTTGAAAAAATAAGTCGCCTACCGTAGGCTTAACTTTCTTCACCATGGCATTCTCTTCTTGAGCTCGTTGTCTCATCACCATCATTGTCTGGTTTCCACCAACATGCAGCGTCTTGGCAGCATGAGCCATCTAAAACCAGTCACATTTACCGGAAAATCGTGAGGGTGCGTGTGGAGTTTTCGTGGATAGGATAGAGTTTGTGATTACCGCATTTGGACGATATAATGTACCCTAATTTTCTAAAACTATGTTAGCAGAAGCCAGACATTTAGTGCAAAAAGCGGACTTAAAATGGCATCGGAATATATTGTTATTCGGCACTAACCAAAATGATTCCGATGCCATTTTACTAGCATCGATAGCCAAGCTTGGAATTTTGGCACAAACCTTTTGTTTCGTTTTATATTATACCAAACTCGACACTGATTGCAAGACTAAGCTAAGCTTACGATGGCCCTGCGATTCCGGAAGGGAAAGAAAGCTCCGGGGAGGCCGCGGAAAAACCGGGGCTGCTGACGCCGGACCAGAAGAGGCCTCGCAAATCGCGGCTGTTGAGGAGCAGGAGCAGCAAATTGGTTCTGCAGGTAAGCACACGGATTGTCTTTGGCAAGCGTACAAATTGAAAATTACGGACAGGCTGACATGACGAAATGCCGAAAGATGAGAGGCAAAAGGGGGTGCCGAGAGATGGTGCTCTCGCGAACAAAGAATTTTGGTGAGCGGGTGAGTCATCATGGGAGACTCGCTTTTTCTTATATGGGTATGAGGGAATTGTGGATAGGTATGTGTGTCGGATAGATGGAAATTGTGTATTGTGATTTGCACAAACTAGTGGGAAAGAATTTTCCATTGTGGTTTTTGGATCGGCTATTGATTTCAGTATTAGAATCATATTGTAAGCTCAAAGCTTTCGCAATTTTTGGAAAGAAAATAACTATAACCGATCCATGTGCAAAAAAAATATATATATTTTGTCTGTGCTCTGTACCGCGCGAGGTCGTTGCTGTAAGCTTCTTGGAGATGTCCTGCTAGCCCCACGAGCTTGGGCGAACGGATGCGAGGGTCTTTGAGAGGTTAGAGCACGCTTTCGAGCCGGAGCTTTAGCCCTCCTCAAAGTCCCCGATACCGCTCGCCGCTCCGGCTGGGCGCGCCGAGCCGTTTGGCTACCCTAGATGAGTTTAAGTAGGTTTCAGGCCACTTTGACTGCAAGCTTTTCACGTAGCCAAGAGAACAAGCACTCAAGACACACAACAGACGCTGAGCAAAAATCATCGTTAATGTTTTAACGGTAAATCGGAAATTGGCCTACCACTTGTTGGCAACGACCGAACCAGCAGCGCCCACGGTAGCAGGCATTGAACATTTCGAAACCTTGGCAGTTACCGCCGGGTTTGATCTGAAAGGTTAAAGATTTAACGAGGATGGGATATTGGACGAAATTACTAACAACACGCCCAAAATTCTAATTTCGCTTGATCCAATTTACCTTCGCAACACAATGAGGGAATCCGCGAGTGTCGCAGAACAAGTATGGCGATCCACAAGACGGGTTCTAAAAAAATCTTAATGAAGTTTTTTATATAAATACCTGAATAGAGCATGTGGCCCTGGGCGCATATCGATACATTTGGTCGGTGTATCCATTGTGGAGACCTGAATCGATAATTATACGAAAGATAAGCACTATCTACCGTCAGCATTCAACAAGTATGGGAATGGTCTCATGATGGCGTTGCGGAAGTGCTGTTGGTTGGCGCAGCTGTAGTGGTCCGGGGCGTAGGCCTGGAAAAATAGGGTAGTTTTGGTTAAAACTAGATGGCATAAGCTACTTGGGGGTCATAATTTTCAAAAGGTACTGTTTTCAATCGTATATTCAAATTTATACCTGCTCGCGGAGCCATCTGGGTTGCTTGAGCTGTCTCCAGAGTTCCCATAGGTAATCGACAAAGGAATGATGCATGAAGAAGATCGGCTCGTTAGCTAGAAGATTCAAAATCTGCCGGGTTTATAAATTTTACTACTTTTATATACTATTTTCCTCTAGGGTAATTACAGGTTTGCTATTCCTTATTTTTATTGACCTACCAGAAGTTGATGGCGGTTCCATATCACCTCCAATCCAAAGATGAATGTTCGAATGCGTATATTCAATGGCTCCATAGTTGTTACCGTAAGGACATCCTATGACATTTCAACTAATTTCCATGGTAAACCACACTCACCCCAAACTGGCGCAGTATAGGCCAATGTGAATTCGATGGCATTTTGGGCAACAATATTGTTGATCTGTTGCTCATCGAAGAGGCGACCTTTCCGGGCTAGTTGCCTGCAAAAAAACGTATTGAATGGGAACTATCCCTAACCTGTTGATCGTAGCGCGACCTTCAAGTGTTCTCCAGTACGCGAACGGTCCTTGGACCACATTGCCCCACCAATCGGATTCACCTAAATCGGAATATCTATATAGTGATTATATATATTAATATACAATATGGTAAATATACAGGAATATACATTATATGGAACATTATATACTAATGGATTTTAAAATGCATACCCGCAAACATATTCGAGAACATAATCGAATCCCGAGCATCAGGAAGATACCAATCCATAACCGAATCCCAGTATGGGATAGCGATTCCGGGGTCGACAAGTCGAAGAGCGATTTCCACACTATAAGTATCAGATTTAAACTTTAATAAATTTCTACAGCAACACTAATAAGTGTTTTTGTATGTATGGCTTACCGCTTCAAGTATTCACGATGCCAAGGCAAGAAGCCAGGTCCAGAATGAGCTCCAGATCCAATTCCAACCGACAAGTGCTCAGCCGACAATCTGTCGTACTCCCCATTCCTCTTCAACACATTCAAAGCGTTGTGCCATCTGAATTCCCAGTTTCCGACTTGAATCTTGATGACAAACCTATTCCTCTCATCATCAGTCATCATCCGATATTCCTTTCTGTAGGCCATCGTCAATGGCTGTCCACTTGCCAAGATACAGTTCCCATTTTGCACGGTACCCTAAATTCTCACTGCCCCTTGCTATTACAATTTGATCGAGATGTGTTGGTGCTATTTGAAGGAGCTGCAAGTTCGAGCCTGCACCTCATGGTCGTGCGAACCACTCGAGAAAACGGAGAATTTCCCCGGAGAAGATTTATGAACGTTGGATCCTTGAAATGGCACGGAGATGGATCTCGAATTTTTGCTCAGCCAAACCACGCGAGTTTTTAGGGTTAATCTAGCCATTTTCAAAAGTATCTTGGGTCCTTCAGGATTTGGACGCAAGGAGGAAAATTTTAAAGTTGAATAACGTACTCGGAAGAAAGGGCAGAGGCAGATGAGCGTCATGCAATCATATGGATGGTACGCAGCATGTCCACGCGAGTTCGGAGGCAATGGGATTGGTTGCTGCCAGTTAGGGGCACCTGAAAAATTAGATTTTGATATTTTATTTTGTATACCATTTCGCCTGGTATCCTCGATGATTGAATTTCCGAATTGTGCTTGTCTGGCAACTCGCCTCCTGGCGACATGGTCCATGTGGCGGATCTGGATTTTAATGGATTAAGAAATTTCGAAAAAGCTTTGTAAATTAGAAGATTGTCAAAATTGTCCTTAAATTGTCAAAAAATATTTTACATTCTTCGTTATCATGTTATTCCTTTGTGAGGCATTTTTAGATGCTTTGTGTGCTCTTTTGGGAGACACACTCCCGAACGGTCGGGGGTCTGACTCCCTTCCCCCCCTTCCCATGGCAGCGAAACCGGTCGGAATAGCCCCAGGGCGTGGAGACACATTCCCACGAACCATCCCCAAATAAGTGCTGTTCCCACGCCATGCCCCACGTGGGGGATTTGGCCTTAGCAAAGCTCTCGGGTATCCTTAGATTAGAATAATTTCCCACTCACCATTTTACAAGTACTTTTGAGGTCAGCATTTGGTGCATCGGAGCAGTCCCTAGGTGGTTCTCGTCGGCTTCTGCTGGCCAGCGCCGACATTCTAAAACAAGAGATTAGAAACTGCTAAGATCTCGTCACCTGGCTTTGGACTGCATTTGTGCGTGGGCAGTACGCATGTTTGAGCGGGCAGGCTGCTGCGAGTTAGCCGCGACTAGCCATGAGGCTAGAAGGGCGAGGCTTAGCCCCGTCAGCTTCATCCTGGAAGGTAATAAGGTTTAAAATTCCTAGTAATAAGAACAAGCAAAATAAAGGTCGAAGCGCAGAGAACATTCTACGTCAAATTAAGAGTATTGGACAACTAAAAAGTGTTTTGAAAAATCCGATGCCTATCCAACGGACTGAAACCTGCGTGTCAAAAATGACTTCTCCGAGCCCCAATATGGCGAACTCAATCCAGAAAAAGCAGACAAAGATTGAGAGTCGACACTCCTCGACATTCCCGCCGATCCCAGGTTTGGATCTGGAGGAGTGACAAAAGAACCCGCCGACCAACTGACTGACTGGCATGGCACTCCCTCATCGGCCCAACCTTCCTTCCTCCCCCCTTCCCCGCTTCACAGTCCCGAAATGGCATTGAAAAGCCCAGAGCACGAGCGGGGAAAACCCCAGGCTGTCATTTCATTTGTTGTTGCGCCCATGGTGGGAGGCGGGAAATTCGGGAAAAAAGAAAAGAAAATAGCAGGCCCCGTCATAATCCACAAAAGCCACCTAAAAAGGGAGTCAAGGTGCTTTTCCTCCCCCCACCCATCGCCCAAACAAATTGATGACAAAACGGGACTTTTTGTGGCGAGAATCTGGGATGGATAGGTGAGGGGTGAGGTGTGGAATGTGTGGACGACAAATTGTTGTTTGCTATTTTGCTAGACCGAGCGAGTTGGTGGGGGATGGCAACATGGAAAAGAATAGCTGAAATGGGTTGCCTATCACTTGGGGGTATTGGGATGGGATGGAACGATTGAAAGTTGCGGGGAAGAGGAAGGTGGGAAGGAATTTTGTAAAAAAATATACAGAAAAACTGGGGCTGGAATCTTTAGGTCAACAAGTTTCAACTCACAAGGCCTTGATACTATATGCTAATGACATAGAAAAATTCAAACTAAAAGTTTTGCTAACCAGCTAACTGAAAAGAAGGGAATAACCTGAGTTACCCAAAATTGGATTACTTCCATTTGTCAAAGCTGCTTGCCTGTTTTCGACAAAACGGATTAGCTGCCCCCTCCTCCGTTTTCATCCTTTTCCCGTTCCGGTGTACGGTATTTGGGATGTTCCTATCCGCTGCCCAGGTTCTCCTCAAACGAAATCCGCGAAAGGGGGGCATCCTTTGTCTGCCTACGGATCCGTTGACTAATCGCCGAAGAATGGCATTAAGACTTGGGAATAGGGAGAAGGAAAGATCGTTAGACTAGATCAAAACAACAACAAAAAGCGTGAAAGTGAGAAATTCGGGAGGGAAGGATTTTTAAATCTTAGAAGTTAGGTGCAAGATAGGCATCCCACGCGCAGAAACTGCAAAATGTCGTACGAGGAAGTGCTTCCAGCCTTACAATTGCCGCAAGGCTAAAGGTCAACATCCAAAGCAAGAACCAGACAACAAATACTCGAATTTCAAGGAGTATGAGACGCTAGCATTAGATTGTTGCATGTTTCCCAACGATCTCCCATACACCCCGCTCCGCCGGAGAAAATTTGCGAAAAGTGACAGTAATTGGGAAGCTAGAAGGCCACACCGGGTAATCTCGGGCTCACAGACGATACCTATGGCGGGGAGCAGCAGAACTGGGTAATGGAAGAAAAAAGGAGATGGCTTTGTCCGCGGGCTGGCAATGCAGAGAGCAAAAGCCCACAAGCCATCCTCATTCCACACTTTGCGCACGAGAGAAGACCCTTCCCCTGCGAAATACCCAAAGGATTGGGTGCTAGAAATGAGCTCATCACCTATCGTCGAACACTTCTTTGTTACTGACAACCCCTCACAGCCATTCCCTGACCACTCTGTCCCAACGATCAGGGAAAAGCCTGTGGAAATCAGACAGGCTCGTCAATTTTCAATCGTGGATTGATGGCAGAGGGGGTGGAGAATGAGGGAGCAAAAAGAAGATGCGGAAGGGGGAAATTGGTGTTAGAAAAAGCATCTTTAGAGGAAGAGAAAGATACGCATGCATTCCGATCGGTTCGACCCGGAAATTTTTGATTGTTCTTGAACTGTGGGTGGGAAAGTGATGGGGTGGGGTGGGAATGATAGTTTTGAAAATTGGGGTTTGAGTTTTGAGCTCAACCCTGGCCACAAAGTAACGCTTTCCGGGATTTTTAAAGAAAGCTGTGGTTACAGGTAATGTGAAGCTGGGATACCGTGGTCACGATGCTACGCTAAACTAGATAGCCGGTAACTAGAGATTGCATTCTGCTATCAAATCCAAAACAACTGCTGCTTGAAAACAGTTCCTAAAGCGCTTTTCCGCTCGAACCAATCGGCTCATTTGTTAAAGAATTGGAGCGTATTGCCCGAGCTGCGCCGTTTTTATCGGTGGCTCGGCAGCTGAAGGTCAGAGCCTGGCTATCGGGTAGAAACGCACAAACAAAACCTGGATGACTGTTGGTAATTATTTCGAAAAGCGGAAGCAGGCTTGAAGGGACGGGGATTTCAAATTACGAGAGTAAGCAAGTAAAGGAGAGTGCCTCAACATTAAATAAAATTTTAAAACAAAATACAAAAAGAAGCCAGCAAATTCCAGTAAAATCCACGAACGTGTAGTTGCCGAGGATTCGTGCCGAAAAATGTTCGTCGGTCGGCTCCTCGAGTGGGTCTTATAAATGGTAGGAAGGAGGGGCGGTAGAGGGATGTGATCCATTCCACAAAGACGGACAATCTTCATCTCACTTTCCCATCCTCTCTCGCCCGTTAGCCACCAAAAAAGGAGAGAAATCCCGAGCATTTTCATGCTTCTCCAACATCGTCCCACCCTCAACACCCTCCTTTCCAACCCATGCCTCTTTCTCTTTTGGAATTCTCGCAGTGACAAGACAAAAACATCGTGTGTGGCCAGGTGGTACTAAGTGTGACACGATCAGGAAATTCCAGAATTAACTTCCGGAAAGTGGAATAAACACATCAAAAAAGAGTTTCCGGTATGAAAGTCTCCAATGAAGCTTGTTTTAGTCTTTCAATGCCAGATTTTTAACCAGGACGAAGTTTAAAACACGAAAAATCGATAAAACGGAAAAAGTTGCATTTACATAACGGCCGGGCCCACAAAAACTCAAATAATAATTCTGTACCTGCAATACTCTTCAGCTAAAAAATTATCCAATGCCCCTATAACCAAAATTTGACAATCAGATCGTAAGGCACGATCTTCACCATGTTGCCCTCATTTCCATTCCTTCTAATACACCCCCTGTTTCACACTTACTCTTCCATTAACCTGTTTATCACAACCATAATTATTTTAGGCTTTCTCTCAACAATTGCTTCCAAAACGATGCTGCACTTTGGTCTGAAAATGTTTACCAGAAAGAGAGGATGGGACAGACTGCTCTGTCCACCCCACAGGGGGTTGTGTGCCGGAAATGCGACAAAACGTGAGCAGATGTGGGTGATTGCGCGAAATCGCGAGGGAGTGTGGGGCTTTTTCTCTTGCTTTTGGGGCTGACGGGAGATGAGTGATCAAATGGCAACCGCGAGTGAGGGGCAAGTTTTATGGAGGTCTTCAAATCTTTGTTGGGGCGATTTGGCTAGTCGAGAGCGTATTGTGGATAGAGTAGATTTTCGAGAAACCGATCCGGTTGTTGGGAAGGTTGTAAAATCTCAAATGATTTTTCCTGGAATTGGTTTGAGAAAACGCCATCTTTGTGTTACTGTATACGTCGGCTACACAATTTTGTCGACTTTTCAGGTGGTCGATCCACTTATGGTTTTCGCATTAAAAGGGATAACGACACTCCGCTTATTGTTATTTTTAGTGACTGTAGAATTTCGATATGTGAGACAGCACATTTTGTGAAGAATTTTTCGCCAATTCCGAATCTAGTTTCAAGAGTTGAGGAACGCCTCCGGTTAAAAGGATACAACAGTTTTTCGCGCGGAAAGAGAACAACAATCAAAAAGAAATTCCCCACAAAACACCTCAGCGTATCCATTTTGTACTTGTTTTCTGAAGAAAATTCCGTAACAGGTCCCAATCTTCCCAACACCTCAAAATCCGCGCCAGTCCTACTTTCTCACTTTTTTTTACTCGGGCCGTGGAACGCGCATGTAAAGATCTTTCCAGATACTCCCTAGTCCCAAGCTCGGTTTATCTGCAAAAAATCTTGTATCTAGTACGCGCTCCCCCCCCCGTATCCACGAAACAAGAAACAATATATGTGTTTTTTCGGGACGGAGTGAGGGGAAAGGAACATGGCGAATTTACGCGCAAAAACAGACACAACCCGGCGGGAATGACGGAGGGGAAGTGGAAAGACGGAAGGAAAAGAAAGACAGACCTGGAATTGGAAAAGAGATCTTGCCATGGGTGTTTTGAAAAGGGGGGATATGCGCCCCCGAGTTCTTCTTTGTTCTCGACAAGCTTTTTGTGTTGAAGAGAGTCGTTGACAAGGAGAGATGGTCCCTACTTTGCACTTCTCAACAACCCTCAAATGGGACCCCGGGGATGTGGGACGGTTGAGATAAGATCCCTCTACAAATCATTGGAATCACTTGGGAATCTGAGATGAAGCTGGAAAACGGAAATGGGATCGTGTTGGGGGGTTTTTGAAAATTAATGGGGCATGGATGGTATTTTTATGACATTTTAGTGAGGCCTTAATGGATGTGTCTTCATGCGTTGCGAAGAAAGGTATTGTTACTTTAGAATCTTTAAATACAGCCTATACCGTAAAATCAAACATTCATTGTGTCAGATCCAATCGAAAAGAAAGTATTCGGCCTGGCCACAAAAGTTAAACTCATACAAAAATACGTAAAAACCGTCTAAATTTTTCCCAAAACATTAAACTGTAATTTGTCGCCTAGACCTTATAATAAACATATCTATGACGACAGCCTCCTTATTCTTTCTTTCCCTCATAGTTCTCCTGAAATTACTAATTTCCCGCCCTGGGACCCTTTTCGTAGTTCACCCATAAAAAGGTGGACGGGTTCAGAGCGTAATAATTTGCAAGGCTGACAAAAAGTAGGCGGCGGCTTGTTAATTCGGGGAATCGAATCATAAGGGTTCGGTTTTTGATTGGAATGTTTATCCCCTTTCTTGGTTCTGGACGCAGATTTTTGTAAAGTATTATTTAGTGGAAGTTTAGGGAAAAGCATCAGCTTCTGTAAATTCATTGGATTGTAACTACCAATAGCCTTATTTCGATTCATATCACTCATTTAGACGAATCTCTATCGAACCACGTGCGGTATCTGCCTACTACGCGTCAGAAATCAAATTATACGGCCGTCGTTGTGGTCACCATAGTGCTGATGTCTAACAAGGAAAGTGCACGACCGGCCCACGAGAAATCGACACGAGACAAAGTGGATCTGATAGACTCGGACACGGGGATTCCGAATCTGTAATCAGAATTTGCTAAATAAAACGGAGAAAAAAGGTATGAAGCTTCAAAGTTGGCGAAATCGCCAAAAACGCTACCTTTAAGGGCCCGTAAAAACCGGGGGAACGGAATTGAGGAGAAAAGAATTAGTGCATTTTGTTCCGCAGAAAAAGCACTTTCGAATGAGCAGTAATACGTATCATTTTTAAACAATTCACTGAAAAAAGTTTTTTTGGATTCACGGGCAAGGGTATGGCCTGTCAAGTTCATAGAAGAGATTTTTGCGAAATCATCGTAAACTTGAAGTAAGATAACTCATTCGAAAGCGCTTTTTTTCTTGAACAAGATGCACTATTGGGTTGTGGCAAATTTCCATTCCCCGGGCCTTTACAGGCCCTTAAAGGTACCGTTTTTGGCGATTTGGCCAACTTTGATGCTTCATAACTTTTTTCTCCGTTTTATTTAGCAAATTCTGATTACAGATTCGGAATCCCCGTGTCCGATTCTATCAGATCCACTATGTCTTGTGACGATTTCTCGTGGGCCGGTCGTGCACTTCCCTTGTAAGCCTCAATAGTTCACTGGCACACTCTTTGCTTCGACGCCTTTTGGGTACAATTTTACGTAATTTTTGATCAAAACAAATTGATTTGTGCCACTTTATAACTCCCTAATGGGAATCCTTTAGGGAATATTACCGTTATGCCTATCTTTTCAGACCCAACGCGCCCAGGTGACTCAAAGTCGACTTCGATTTGTGGGGAAAACGTTTCTATTTGGATGGACGGTCGGTTGGCTGAAGGGAGTGTGGAAGGGCTGATTAGCATCCAGGTGATGCCGGGTAATTGGCATTGGGGTCCGAAGGAGACCTACCGATCCCCTGGCTACTTATTAGCCCTCGCCCACTTGGTTTCTATCGGAAAACCGGGCGTTCCATTCTTGTTTCATTCATGGTTACTTACAAATTAATTTAAATTTGGATCAGATCCTTTAAGCTTGCCTCAATCATTCCGTAATGATCTTTAAAGTTCGCCTTATTGTTGAGTTTCAGTGCATTCGCTTAGCTAAGAGTTTTACTAATTTTATAAACACTAGCCAATATAACCAACACCAATAAAATATTATACTAGGTAATCAATCGTGTATGACTATGATACAATTCAACTAAAATAAAGCCTCCTATTTCCAGCTAAATAATCACCAATGGGCCAATCCGGATCAACCGCCGCCGCTGAAATATCGGATTGGAGCTTTGTGGTAGTAAAAAAAAACTATGCTCAAATCTATTTTTTAGGTTATCTCGGCTCTAACGCTCCCCATTTGCATCTTATTATTTGTCTGCAACCTCTTCTCCAAATCTACCGACCCAAAACGATGGCACACGCTGAACATCATAGGTTGGATGATATGGGAATTGGTGGGTCAAGAACACGAAAACAGCGGCACACTGTATCTTCCGGGACTAGAATACATTTTTTATAAAAATGCGGACTCGCGGCATAATTTTGCGCGCCAGGTGCCCATTATTCTTGGCGTTCAGCACCTGCAATTTGGAAAAACACTAAAATCCGCACGTAGACGGATTGCTATGAATATAAATTACCTACTAAAATATGACTTATGACTTACCAGAGGGGTAGCGACAAGATAGGAAAAATTATAGTTGTACCAGCGCCCAAAACCCGCTTCGCGGGCCTTGGGCGCTGGAATCAGGCCTTTGCATGAGAAATTTGACTTTCCGGTTGCTCGGGTCCTTCGGACCCTCCCCTCCCCCGGCCAAATTCGCGAGTGCAACTGGCAAGAATGAGGAAATTTTTCCACATTATGCAAATTAGCTCTCCGACGCCCCAAAATTTAGTAAAACCGGCTTTAACTTTGTAAACTTGTATTTTATCGCGATTCTGAAAACGCCATTCGAAAGAGGAGGGTCGATTCCCCCAAGTAACGGAGAATTGGGGCGTTTTGAACACGGGGAAGCCCTCAAATCGGGCCTCGAAAGTGTCAGCCGGACACACACACACACAGAGATACACGCCAAAATTATATAAGGTAGGATTTAAATTTTTCAGCTTGTCAATACAAACGGATCCGACAACGATCGACCTGGGAAAAACTTCCTCGGAGATGAAGATCTGCTTGCACGCAGCCCAAAATGGGTGTTGTTTAATATGACGATGATATATTCTGGTAAACCCTAAATTAAATACTGTAGCCATGATATAGTGAATATTTTATTGTATATCGAGACACTGGTCAGTGCTCTGCTTCGTTTGTTGATGATCGGCGCCAACAAAAAGTTTCGGCTGGGCTATTCGATATTCTGGCTTTTAATGCATTTGTTGGTCAATTTATTGCAGGGTTTTTGCATTTATTCACAGGTAAGAAATCTTCAAATAGTGGTAAAAATCATTTAGTTTAACGTTTTCCGTAGAGACGGGGATGTTGGCCTTTTAGAAATGTACAATTTGATAGTGTCGCTTGGGTAAATCGATCTTTAATTATGAGCTGAAAACCTCATCTTTCAGAGCGATTCCCGCCGGGTTTCTACACTTTTCCATTTGCTTTGTATTATTATTAATATTGCCATTTTCCTGTAAAACCTACAGGGCAACGCACAAAATCGTAAGTCACGTTAGTAAAAAAATTATTTCCCTCTAGAAGCTCAGCCCGATACTTCTTGCTCTTTTTGGGGCGTATTTTTATGCTTTCACGCTACAGGTAGTGGAAAGCAGTTAAATCAATTTGATTTCAAATTTGCAGACACTACTGGTTCCCTATGAAACGATGGTTATGGGTGAATTCTATATGACATATTTAAAAAAATTGATGTGGGAGTATTTGCTTGAACAGCCATGTGAGTTTAAAGTTTTGGAAATTTGGGGAGAATTTTAAAGGGCTAGTTCAGCCATTAAAATAAAAGAATTTCCGCGGCCAGGAGTCGAACCCTCTCTGCGTTTTCGTGTCTGCGCTTCTCTCATTTCCCCGATCTCTAATAGCTGTCGTAATGGGGGACTGTTCGGGCGCACTGTGCCTACGTCCATAGTTTCCCAAGGTACCAGCCCAAGCTCTAAAAGTTGAACTAGCCCTTTAAGTTAAGGCCAATACCAAATATAAACCTAAATATTTAGTGGAACGTCCCAGCGAGACGAAAATGTGGATGATCAATGGGTTTTTGCGATGGATCAGCTTGAGAGACATTACTTTACTCTACACACCGGCTGCAGTGGCTATTTTGAATTTACTGTGTTTTTCATCGAATAGGAAGGAAGTAAGTTCGAAGGTAAAAACCTTGAAAAATCCATACAACTTGCGAGCTGACAATCATTATTCAAATTTCAGATTTGCTTAAAAACTAGAAGCATTCTGAGTTGCTTGGGAGTGAAAAGCGCAAAGGTAAGAATTCAATTTATAAAGAAAACTTTAGAATTTTAGATTATCCCGAAACCACCATCAGTCACTGTGTCACAAACAGATGAAGCTCAAAGAGGCAAAATGTAACGGATTTTGCGATGATTTTAAAGAACTTCAGGGCACGGCGCTTGTCGAAAAGTCGTCTAGGAAGGTTCCAGAAGCGGCTAATGAAATATATCAAGGCTCGATGAACTGGTTTATTTATTATAAAGCCGTATGGGTATATTTTGTTGATAAACCTCTACTAAGCGCTGCTAATTTTCAAAATGAAGAACCTCAATTTATTCAAGATTTCTTAATTTTCTATCAATTCTCTTCAAAATTTGACAAGCTGACCTGACCAATGCGTGTGGCGGGGGATAGGATCGAGGGGGGCAAATTTGCAGAGAGATGCAAATGGGCCTCATCCAGATCGAGGCCATCGTCGCCAGGGCTTTTTACGGGCCATTACTCATAGCGACACGCTTCGTCCTTACATCTGTTGCGGTGGATAATTATTTTTTGCGTTTGGGTTTTTCTTGGTGTGGGTTTCGTCATGTCGTTGGGATCCGTAGTCATCTCTTTGTAGCATAAGGCTAGGTAGTATCGATTAATATTGGCGGGATGCATTAAGGGGAGGTTTGATCCGAATAAATTCCGATTTTGCTGCAATTTAGCCAGTACTTTTTGGAACTTCCGGTACCGGATTTGAATATTCTGAATTCTCGCCATATCTCAGTCAGAATAAGAACAACTCTAGTTGATATGCCAGGCATTCATCCACATTCTTACTGCTGCATTAATGCGCCATCCAATCCATGACCGTTGGGCCCTCAGCCAACCCGAGTCTATTTTCACTTTCGGGTGAAGAGGGCTGCTAACGGTCCGAAAAGAGATCGCGGGGACAAGTCGGGGTCAATGGAAAAATGGAACTGGGCCTCCTGCTCTTTTTCCAACATACACACACTGTCCCCGTCCTACCCTCTATGTGTAAAGCATTTTTGAATGGAGTGACGGGCCCCGGAAAGAGCCCCTCGGTCCCCTAAAAAACGCTCCCTCTCTCTCGGCCTCCCTTCAACCTGTGCCGGGCGTGCCTCATTTTTTATCCGAGCACGGGCTTGTCAGGGTGAAGCTTTTTTTTGTTATTTTGAGCTTATCATCATCTGGCGAAGTGATCTTTGGGGGTGATTTTTGATTGATGTTGATTTGGGACGAGCTCATTAAGGCTTGTCATAAACAGTTATGTGCTTTTTAATTGTGGCTGATATTTAAATTAATATGAACAATTTAATAAACCACCGTTAGTTTTTCGAGGATCAATTATTTTAAGCATTGTTTTACTAAATCAAAATTTTTTAAATATTATTTTTTCTTCATTAAAAATAACCACTCGTGTTCTGAAAAAAAAGTACGACATCTAATTTATTTGGCATCGTTTTTAGCAGTACCTTACGCCCCAAAACCTAACACCAGAAAACTCGACATGACTCACCCATTTCTCACCCACGCAACCCAATGCATTGACCCGATCCGCACCGCTGGTTACCACCGTGCGTAAGGGCTGCCTTTTGTAGCTAATCCCCCCCAGAAAAAGAGCAAGAGATTTCGAGGGAGAGAGATTGATAGAGAGCAACAGTTCCCACCCGACAACCATTCATTCACCCCATGCATATTGCCACTCTCGTGCTCCAATGCCACATCGATTGCCGGCTTTCACCCCAATTTCAGCCGGTGGGCCGCCACAGACCCAACCCAATCATTTGTGTTTTTGTCGATTGCGCGGTGGAAAAATAGGGAGGCGGATGTAGACGGCCGGTTTTTTCGTGTGATTCTAATGTTAATTCTGGTATTTGGAAAAGTAGTGTTTTGTTAGTTGTGCATTTGCATGCATCTTTTATCAGTAAGTTCAAAATATATTTGATATCGCCAGGGGAAAATTTGTAGTTTATGACTGATCAATCCTTAAGGACGTAACGGTTGCGAAATTAAGCGTAAGTAAGCAAATTAAAGCCATTAGCTCCTTGTTACGGAAAATTAGCATCCAATGGAATTGTGGGTAGTTTAGAAAAAATAGTAAAGGAGTTTATAATAAATAACAAAAGGGAATAAATCACGCGGTTTTTCAATAGAATTCTTAAGCGATTTCTAACATAAAAATGCCTACGTTGATGATATGAAGATTTACGGAAAACGGAAGAAAAAACTTTTGGGATCTGCGTCGTTTTAGACCATTTTATGCGGTTTAGGGATTCAGACCCTATTTTTCCTGTTTTCTAGCTCGACTAGCCCACTTGACTAGGGTAAAAGGATGAGTCAGACTCGTCGACCCAGACCGCCCTTTATACCCACCACTTAGAAACCCTCGGAGGAATCGGGCCCAGCTGGAGCCGTATTTACCCATTGTTGGTCTCTAGTATTTTGGATTGGTTTCTAAATAAAACGAGCTCCATCAAATTTCCAATCTACCCTAAACCAACCATCCTAAAATCCCATTAAATTGTCCAAACCCAATCGACTAATCGTTACCTCATCCCCTTCCCCACCCTCCCCTATCCCACCTCCGATCAGCTGTCGCTCATCAGCGGCTTTTTACCCGAAAAATGAGGCTAGATGGATTGGGCCCCGATGCAAAAACACCAAGCTCCCCTCTTCCGCTTTCTTTTCCAAATATCTACCTTTTCTAAAAAAATGTGCTTGTTTTGCAAGTAACCCAACCCCGGGTGTCCCACTCTCTGCCACTTCGCACCTACTCTCGGATTTTTTTGCTAATGACGACGGTCGTGATTTCAGAAGCGCTTACGATAATGAAGACACGGCGCAAATTATTAGAAATGAGTACGTTTTTTGCACCAAGTAATGGAAAATATGAATTAAAAAAATACTTATTTTGCCAATTCAGAAGCCAGTGAGCTAGCAGCCGTAATGGCCGTCGTCCTACCAGGCCGTAAGATAGATGAACTTGAAGAGAGCCAAATGCAAGAAATGATTTTGAAATGGTGAATTTTTTGCTTTGGAAGGGTTTATAAATTTCCTAGGCTATTTGGTAGTGGGCTTTCTATGAACCATGAATTTGTGCTGGATCAAGACGAGGAAGGCGAGCTTTTTGTCGTCATGAGCGCGAAAAAGGAATGCGAGTGCTGCCGAAAAGGTTGGCATTTCAGAGTTCAAAGTTTACTGTTCATAGCTAACAGTTTTTGTGGATATGACCGATTCGATTTCGCTATTTTTTAAGCCAAATCGAGGTTTCCATTAGTCAAAAAAAGTTGTCTATATTGAGGGAATTTCACTCTCAGCGTGAAGCCATAAATATTTCGCCCCCGCTTTTCAGAGGAGGACGGCTCTTCAAAAGCAGCATTTGATCGCTCCCCATACGGCTCACGGTTGGCCGTTTTTCACTCGGAAGGTGACGGAACTGTCACCCTAAGCGTACCACATCAATATAGAGGTAAGACCATTAACGTACTATATTTCCATCCATCGCATCTGTACTTGATTACCAGAATTTCCCAAAAATGTTTAGCAGCTGTAGTCCCATTCTCAAACTCCCAGGCGACTATCCTAGTCCCTTGCCAATTATGTGAGTTTGTGTGTTGTATCGTGTTTTGTATAATCGCATGGTGCAAAAGTTACTGTAAAAGTCAAATGAGCGCTAGTTTCTAGCTCTTATGACTCGATCATTATCCGTGATTCCATCGAGTTCGGCTGAGGGGTTTGGCTCGGGTCAAATACTCAATGGCTACCTCCCAAACGACCTTCCAGGTTGAGCGTGTCGGCACGATAAATTATAAATAATAATTACATAGAAATTGGGTTTGAACGATCACTCACCCAAAAGTTTACCTTAGAGGCTTGAACACAGGAAACCATTATTTTTTAGAGCGTAGAAATTCCACATCGGCTTCAACAGTTCACGCTGTACATCCACAGCGATATCAGAGAACTAAATCGGATACACAGGTATTTGTAATGAGCAGTACTTACTCTTTTTAACTTTTACGATGCCTTACCGTACATGGCAAGTGTTTTGAGGTACACCGCATCAGCCACCTTGAGCCACCGGTGGTACAAATGAGAAACGGAAGGCTAGTTTCTGTTGATCTCGATGAACCACCGCAATACAAACCCCCACCCCCGCCCATTAGCGAAAGACGTGGACAAAAAATTTCGCCGATCCGGACGCAACCTGGCGTTGTGAAGACTTTGCCGAAGCCGAGTGAAAAAGGAAAAGGTAAACTAACTACCCTCGGAATTTTTAATTTAAGGTGTTTTTTTGCATTCAATTTTTTCTAATTTTTAGAAGATGAAAAAGATCAAGGCTTCTTCCGCTCCTGCTATCGTGAAATGGGAACATGCTGTCTTGGACTATGCTCAAATTTCTCGTTATAGTACGATATTGTATTCTATAGTTTGAAATGTTGCAATTCGAAAACCACGACAGTCTCAAAAGAGACCCCCCTCCCTACTCACTTTCCGACGCAATCCGCTTCTCCTCCCTGTACCCTGTGATAGATATGATCCTCAATGACGCGTGGCCATGTAGGCTTCTTCCTGTTTCTCTTCAGAGCTTATTTTGCACATATCATATGTTTATATTTTTGGAATAAACACCATTTATTGGTTTTGAAATGGCAATGGGACCCCAAATAAGATATAGTCATAATAGAACATTTGAACAAGGCATTTCATTAAAAATGGAGTTGATTTGATTTCGGTCAGGATCAAATCCTATAAAAATCATCAGGCTTTTTAACAGGAAAATCAGTAACTTACCTTATACGAATTGTTTTTATTACTATGTGGCGATTTAAAGTTCAATTCGTCCTCGATATATTTTAGACTGCTACAAAAATATATGCAAAAAGAGTGAGAAGATATTTTTACCTTTGCTCAACCTTAGCATCCTTCAAAAACTGCAAAATTTCGGTGGACATTTTATGCCTAGTACTGGCATCATCCCCATAATGGATTACGGTATATGAATAATTGTTAAAGGCACAGTACCTAATAATAGGGAAATATTAATATGAAAATTAATGTTACCATGATTGCGGGAAGAAATGCTTAGCTTCGTAGGTTAGATATTTCTTCCCATCGGCTCTTATAAACATTTGAGCATTCTTATAAAGATGTTCCACGAAACATGTGAGATTCTTATTGCACGAATAGCAATTCTTTTTCCGTTTGGGCTGGTCGACTTCGCTAAACGGTGTTTATATTTGGATATACGCGTCAAAAACCTACACAAGACACTTATTGATATATCCGGAAATGAAACGCGATATTGGATCTCGAACGACGGCTAAAAGGTGCCAATTCTTCCACATATTGGCCTTCAGGGTATTATTGTCGAGAGGATTTTTATGGAATTCGATGGTTTTTCCACAGAATCTGGAAAAATCAAATAACAGAAGAACTAGCGAAAAAGGAAATTTATTTGGCACTTGGTATCGCCTACCTCTGGGACCACCCTTCAGAATGTATATTCCGGTTGGCTTTGATAAACTTTTCCTTTCTATCCAAATAACATATAATACCGGTGAGAAAGGTCGACATCGTCTTTTCAATCTTACATACTGAGATATTGTGAGCTTTTGAAGTCTAAATTCACACGATTTTATAAGATAACTTGAGAAGCGGACCAGAAATGTTGGATTACGTGAAACAAACGGAGGAAGACAGGTCGAACCTTTGCCTAGTCGACAATCGGATGTGAGCGATTCGATAAACCAAAAAGATTTCATTATTCAATGTTTCTCAATTTACGTTTTGCTCCTTCTTGACCGTAATTGTGGCCGATTTTTTATGCGCATTTACAATCAGTGGCTGCTCCAAAATAGTCGCAAGATACGTTTTCTTCATGATACCTAAATACCTAGAAAATTAAATGTGCTATTCAAACCTCCTCCATTCAGGTCAAGTTGTCTATAAATATCGTAGATTAGTAGAATGGCTAATAACAGGGCTAGGAAGGTGAAAAGGGTCTAAATGACTATCCGTTTGTTCGGTATTTGAGAAACATGGGCTACCTGTCCATTTCTACCGTTGGGCGTTGACATTCGGTTGAATAATAATAGGCAAAATAGGTTAACTCATAGTCCGCTGCGATCGACTGGGTGAAATGACCGCAAAGGGGAAACGGTACACTCCGATCGAAACAATGCAGCCAATCCTCTACTAATTGGACTTTGGGGCGACGTGGAAAAGGGCTCCAACGATAGTAAGCTACGAAATAATACTCAAAAGGGAAGAAAAAAGCATAAACTGCGTTTTATTAAATTAAAAGTATCCAGAAAAGGACCGTACATTACCGTATCAGAAAATCAACCTCCACATGTCATTCAATAATGAGGGTTGATACTTTGGGCAGAGAGATTCTTTAAACATCCAGACAAGATTTATTGAAAAATTAATACACAGAAGCACCTGTCCTAGAAAGCCGGCCTGATTTTTCTAAAAACAAGGAACTTTGGTGGCTGATGCAGTAAGTTTACTATCAATAACTCAAGAGTCCCAACGCACCCAGCTTGCTATCTAGGTATCAAATCCAAGCCTTGAGCCCCGGATCTAAACCGGATATGTGGGTGCATAGAGTTTACCCGGAAGTTCTAGGTGCTTCAACGTCGCTGTGGGTGGAGACGGCTGCCAAGGAACGTGGCAAAAAAACAAAATGAAATTTTACGTGCGTCTCGACCCATCAAAATTTTTCTCATGACATGGTGCGGCGGAGTGGGCTTGAAGTTTGCTGGAGGAAATTTTTGTGTCTGTCGTGTTGCTTCGGATTTTTGACCAGGCTAACTACCAAGGATTTGTTTGACAGCATGTCTGGAAGCGTAACTGGAGCAAATTTGCATACACTGTATTTCTAAGGCCTTACTAAACTTTGTTGAACAAAACCTTTTTCTTTTCAGCGCAATTCAAATATGGTGAATTTCCGCCTATCGGAACACCCCCAAAGATGTGTGGAATGGGTTGCTGGTTATGGAACATTTTCCATATTTTTATTTTTAAATTGCTCGATGTGGAAAACCTGTGAACAAAAATTTACTAATGGTGTTTTTGATATTTTTTACTGTCATTTTAACCCAAACTTTAATTGCTTGGCTTTTCACTTCTGAAGTGTTAAAGTTTTAAAGATGCATTTTTCTTTTGCCTATTTTTCCCATTTTAGTCAATATTCTAGTGTAGTCATTGATTTGTTGGTGCCGAGTAGGCTGTGGTGCGGACCCTCCGCCCCTCCGCATGGTGGTGTACAACGTACGGGACCGGATCCAAGTGGATGTGTCTGTCTGTCTTTCCGTCTTTCTGTCTTTTAGATGGGCCCTCTCGCCTGCGTTTGCTCTCAGCTCCTCCCTGATCTCTATGATCCATCCAAAAGCCCTTCTTTCACCGTCATTTCCCCCCGGCTTTTCATTGCTTTTTTCCGGATGTGTTGTACGTTTTATTTTTAAAGCGGTTTGAAGCTAGTATCTTTTTATTCGCCAATTTCAGATGGAAACTTTAGCAGATGACCTACAAACAAAACTAAAGGTAGAGGAGGAAGTGAAGAAGGATGGACCTGAAGCCGAAAATGCAGAGAAAAAGCCGGATGAGAAAGATGAAGAATGTGCACCGGAAGAACATCACGATAAATTTAACCCTCATGCTTATCTGAATGCTTTTTATAAATCTGCCACAGAAGATACGGCTATGCAGGTCGGTTTTAAGTAGGCTATATTTTCAAAATAATGCTTAGGTTGTACTTTTCTTCCTTCCCGGCATCCTCTATCGTGTGCCCGGCAAAATTTCCACGTTTCTGGACCTCGGAGCGGGACCAACAGTTTATTTTCCAATCGCTATAAGACATCGAGCTGAAAGGATATTCTCTTCTGATTATGCGCCAGCAAATCGAGCAGCTCTAATTGAGTGGGCCGAGAATGTAGGTGTGACGTTATAAAACTTATCGCCGTTATTTCAGAAATCGTCATTTAATTGGGGCGAGGTATGCAAATGGATTGCATCGATCGAAGCTTCAAATGAGGTGGGATTTTATTTTGGGATTTTAAGATACGTAATTTCTTCTCAGCCGGTTTTCAATATTTTTTAGAGCCAAGAACAAATGGAGAAAGGGGCACGGGATAAGCTGCAGGCCATTTTGGAGGTCGACGTGCATGCAAAGCCCGTTGTAAAGCAGGTGCAATGGAAAAAGGACCCGGGTGTCGACGTGCCAAAAAAGTTCCAGGTAGGTCTGGAAAAGCAAATTAGTAGTGCGGGTGCTTTTTGCAGGTGGTATCGTCAGTGTTTTGTTTGGAATATTCATGCGAGACGTATGACGGGTATATTGAGGCTGTCACTAGTGCCGCATCGTTGGTAGAAGATGGAGGGTATTTGGTGGGTATTAATTACATATATCATATTATATTTTTATTTCCAGATATTGGGAGGAGTCCTCGATGCCACTTCCTATACTTTTGATGGCAAACAATTCCGGTCGCATCGCCTTCATAAATCGCACATCATCGACGCATTAAGGGTATGTCCATTGAAATTATTTTTCTATATATAAACCCCTCCTTCTCCTAACTTTTCAATATTTCCAAAGCACCTATCATAATTAAAACCTCCAAAATTATTTCCGTAAAGGTGAACAACTTCGCGCACATCGAAAAAACGGATGAATTCAAGTACATTGAAGCCGAAGAAATCTTTTTGTTGTGCTCAAAAAAGTTGTAACCTATGAATAAATGGTTATCAGGATTGATTAATGGTTCTATGCTATATTTAGACAAACGGCTTCGGCCACATCGAGAAGACAGACGACTTCAAATACATTGAAGCTGAGGATATATTCTTGTTGTGCGCACGGCGGATTGAATAAATATAAGAATACCGAAATTTTTGTAAATTTTATGAATTGTTTTATTTAAAAATAGGCAAATGGAAAAATTGCTACCCGGGACCAGAACCAATAAATATAGGAGAGCAACAGATAAGCAGCCAGTGCGTGCCGTCACTGAGAAAAAAACAGAGGCAGTTGGGCTGGAAAATGCGACGTTCTTCTAGGTATTCAAAGCGACGAACTTGCCCTAAGAATCCTTCTATTCAACAGGTCATCCATCAATTTACCCTTAACGCCTAACTAATCCCTAGGTCGTCAAGACCTTTTCTGATATTCATCAACGACTCCAAGATACATATTTTGATTTTCAAGTCAATGGAGTCGTCTGTTTGGAAGGAATCCGATTTTTAAAAAGTGTTGAGGTGCAGCTAATGATTTGCTATTTTCATTATTAATTACACGAAAAACACGTTTTCAGGTAAAAGGGCTAGGTGAAAATCTTCTGTTTCTATCGACACTTGCACGAGAGGTTTATACTCACCTCGATAAAGACATCGAAGCATTATCCCATGATGTCGAATCGTAAGTTTGCTGCCCTAAGTAAAATCTTCTTTTTTCTCTAGCGAAATCAGGCTTCGTACCGGTTATTGGAAGGATGCAGAAGAATTATATTTGCGTATTTTTCCCGTAAGAAGCTTTTCGACAGCACCCATTTGATATTCAGGAAATTTCCAAAGTTTGGAAAGTTCCTGGCTCAAAGGAACCATTGCTGATCTGCCACGATTTTTGTGCAATTTTTGTGTGCTATAAAGACGTTGCCGATTCAGTATGTTTTGCCCCAAAAATTTAAATATTTTTAGGAACCGGTGGCTGGCTGTAATGAATATGCTACTCTGGCACTCCAAGATGTGCCAGAGAATTTGGGTAAACCCAAGATGGCATGCAAATATTGATAGAAAGGAAACTAATAGGATTTATAGGAGGAACTAAACGACCTCTCGGAAGCGGTCCACCTCGTCTATCTTCTTCGGCACCAGCTTCCACAGGTTGCTGTCTTAATCGAATTTTAAGCCGGATTAGGGGAAGAAGACGACGAAAAGGAGTGTGTCACTAGCTCCAACACAACTACCACCGGAACTACCACCACCCGTTGTGATTCACATCGAACCTCCACCAATCGAACCGGAACCCATTCAAATTGAAGAAGAGGTCAGACTGCTTTATTCGTTTTTCGTTAATCTTCCCCATCCTGATATTGATTGGCCGTGTCGCTTATCGCCATTTGTTGCCCGACCGTCTTCTCTAATGGAAAATGGCTCTTTGGGGTCCCTTCCATGCCTATTCGTTGCTCTTTTGTTGGAAATTGATTGAATTCCCCCTTCTTCTAGGCAAAGCCGCCGGTAATGGATGCAGACATTTATGATGATCCACACGAGGGGGCACACGTCTCAATGGATTATGAAGGACAACACCACACGTATCTTGATGTTGAGATGATGGAACAAGAAGAGGAGAATGAAGTGGGTCATTTTTATTCTATTGAAAAAGGGGGGAAGTTTTATTTGATTTGGCTTTCGTTTTATCGCGATTTCACGTTTTCGTCTTAATCGCATTTGTTGATTGACGTTTTCTATTGAGGTCTCCATATCTCAAAGGTTTTAACGAAAACATAACCTAAACTAAAAAGTTATATACCCGGTTTGATAGGAAGATTCGTTCAGGGATCGCGGCCCGAACGTTAAAATTTCCACAATTTTTACCGGTTCGACCTCAAAGCTTTCATTGTTTCCAGGAAGACGACCTAGCCTTGGAGTGGATTACTGAGATATCAGCAACAATTATTTCCGAAGCGGTAGTCCTTTGTTTTTCGTGTTAATAAAACGTTTGATTTAGCTGAGTCAAGTTCGGATGCGTTTGTATTATGAAGACGTTGACGAGGTAGGCCTCTGCTAAAAGTTAAGCCTTGTTTCTATAACAGCAAGTTGATGATGAGCCCCAAGGAAGTCACGTACCAACAACCGTATTGATGAGGGATTTGAGCTTACATCATATGGATGAGGAGCACTATAATCTCGCACCATTCGATCCATTGGATGCTTTCGAAAGAAGCGGAAAGGTATGTAATTGTGACTGAAGAGTAGTTTTAGATCCATTATGATCGTTATAAAATTTTTTTTAGATCGATCAACAAGTCGATATTCCGGTGATCATTAGCAAGGCAAATGATGTGGTCAATAGCTTTCGGAGGCGCGGCCTTTACGATACCCCAAACCCATACAGAAACCGAGAGAAACGAGTTTCGGAGGGAGATTCGGGGGGTACTGGTTACAGATCTATTTCTATAAATGTAGATTATTTAGGGCGCGATTCAAAAACCCAGAGGAAAGATGAGGAAGAAGCAAATTCTGAAGGGGTGGAAATTGATTCACGTGGCTGCGAGACGCCTATGAATACACCATTTGAGCCGAGCATACTGGCAAGTTATTGGATGTTTTTTGTAACTTTGTGTAAAAAACAGTCAAATAAGAAAGGAGGTTTTAGCATAGCCGCGAAATTGCCAGCGGAGTGTTCGAAGGTCTGCAGGTACCCCGATATGAATGTGAAACACCGCAAAATACTCCATTTGCCAATTCGTATCTTCAGGTTTGTCCGATAGTACCAGAGTTATTTTTCAATTTGCTTAGGTTCATGAAAACCATCAGCACTTATATTTGGATGAGCTTGATGATCGGATTGTAAGTTTTGGTTCTACGTCAAAAGCATTAACTGCGTATTTAGAGCCATTTGGCGAATAGCGATGGGGATATGGAAGGACACTAACCATTACAGCTTACGTTGTTTCATTATTAATAAATGTTTTTAACTTTGCATTTCTTCAAACAGATATATTTTTGGAGCCAACGACAGCCGGATTTGATATATTTAATGGACTTTTCTTTTAATGCAGCCTTTAAAGCGCACGTTCGGGGATGGGCCGTGTACTCGCCCCAACGTGTACACCCTATGGACGTTGGGACTGCACGCACTGCCTGCCTGTGCCGTGGGAGGCCATCCCTCTCCTTTCCGGGGTGGGGCGCCCCTCGGACTCTCGCCAGGACCCGGGTGCGACCCCCGGCCGCAGCAAAAATCTTTGCTTTCTCGCCAAAAAACCTCCCTGAACGTGTCCTTTAATGGAATAAATTACAACTTATAATCGATCAATGGAACCGAAGCCTTTAAATAGCACCCCAGTCTTGAACACAACGACTTTATCATTTTGTGTTATGCTTTTGCAATAATTCTTTTTCTTAGATAACAATTTATCAATCAATAGCAGATCTCCAGAGCGCTCTTTTTGTATTCTTCCAAAGACTTCATCTTGACGGGCTGTCCAGAATGTCGATTCGTGTACCTAAAGGTTGGGATTGCAAGTTAACACATTACATACCAATGGGCTGCCAAGACCGAGATTAGCCAGCTGGTCCAGCGTTGTTGTTTCGTTCTGGCCCTTAAACAACGTTTTGCAAAGTGTATATTTACAAACTTCCATCCAAATAGACGAACGCCGATAAAGCAAAGCACGGCTTGAAGGGCAAAGCGTCGATAACGAAGTCTAAACATGGACAATTTTAATTTTTCGCAAATTTTATACGTTTGGGTGTTTTTGCGAGCCTGGGGAATGGTGTCTAGTTCCTCCTTGAGCACATAACGCCGGGTGCCCATGAAATAGTCGAAGATGTACGAATTCCAATTGACTTGGCGGATATCAAAATTGAATGTCTAACAAAGCGGCATTAAAAAGGATATATAGGGAACCTGTTGATCCTCGTGGCTCAGCTGATCGTAGAGCATTGGCAAAGCTTTCGATTGGAACATCCAGTCATTAGAAGTGAAATAATGGAGTGCTTCAAGCATTCGTTCAACTTTTATGCAAAGGCGCATGTAGCTGAATAGCAAGATATCAATCTGCCGGTTGCCCAATACAAACCGTTGTTTATGCCCCATCAATCCATTGACCCAATCGCCAATTTGGGATGGTACATAATGATACACCTTCCAGTTGATCCACCACATTAGGTGGGACTGATGGAACGTACCGGCTGGGACACGAATCATCGAAGTTAGTGGGTACTGTGGAGAGTTATTTATGGCTTGAAAAAGTTCATTTTACCTTCACATAGAAGCGATCGATAAAACTGACGATGAACGACCAGTAAATCGGGTTTAGGTCACTGGAAGCGCAGTGCATCACCGGGATTTCGGCATAGCTGGAAATTTTTTGATTAATAAAAATAAAACAGTACCTGGTTTGCATGCGATGAGCCGCAGCAACAATGCACATGTTGGATACGATATCGACTGGGACGATGTCGGCACGGGCCGTCATGCTGCCACGCATATTTGTAAGCGCTCCAGTAGCCACCTAAAGATTGAGGGTTCTGGTACGTTAGCTGGGGGCTGCATCCTTATTCCACCGTTATCTGAATAATACATAAAGTGTTTAATAGCGTTTCAAGTATATGCTAGTTCTTAGAAAGTTGTAAAAGTAATTTTGAAAATTAAAAAGTATATCAATCTGTATGCTTTGCAACCAGTTTTAACAAAGTTGCAAAATGTTTCGATAACCCGGAATTTCATTAGTGGAAAATTTTCGATGATGATTGAATCCGCGATATACTCGATCCCTAACATACCGCCACGAAGACACCTGTAGCTCCATTGTAATTGTCGGTCCAACCAGCCAATGGCTCCCGCCAGCAAGCCCCTGGAAACCTTGAAATTATCCCCACGCACGAATAAGCGAACCGATGATCGAAGGGCGGACTATGATAGCCGGTAGTTGAGCAGCGTCTTCTTTCAAGAACGACTCAAATTTTGGAATTAACAGAATTATCAAAATATACCTCAGCAAGGGCCTTGGTCAAGGTGTAAGTATTCGGACGATTCCCGAGAAGTTTTGGCGTCAAAAGCTAAAAGATTATTTCGTAATAAAAGGTGTTCAGCGAAAAACCTTGAGCATATCTCCATCCATCCATTCCAGCGCTTCGAGAAGCTTTGATGGCGAAACAGGCGGATCATAGACCTTTTCCTCGGTGGTGGTCAATGTGCAATTTGCATATGCGGTTGAGGCATGCATCAGGCACTAAAGCTCGGATTTATGATTCAAATTGGTAAACTATTTTGCGAAGTGAAGTGAAGTGAAGTACAATGATTTTCAATGCATACCCGAAGGTTCCGGATGGAATGGCATAAAGCAACAATGCGGGCCGTTCCCAGGAGGTTCATCTCCACCGCATCTTTCAAGTCTTCGTCGAATCGAACAGTGGCTGCGCAATGAAAAACGACGTTGACCTGAATTAGCCGTAGAAGCAAAGGCATCCAGTCATACGTTTTCGCAAATCTCCTGATGATCATGCTGGTTGAGGCCAAGCCCCTTTTCGGTCATATCTCCAGCCGCCGCATAGACCTTTGTCAACAAATCCGGATTTCTCGAGCGGATGCGGTTGAATAGTGAACTCTACAAAAATCTAGGCTTTATTTAAGGACTTGTAACTCATTCGAAAGAGCTCGAATTTTGAGCAAGCCTGATATTTCAAAAACTGTCGCTCGATAGTTTGTTTGGGAAAAAGTTTCTCAAAGTTAAAATTTCCATAGCGGGGTAAACGTTAGCGGAGGCAACAACCTCAGAGCAAATTTTCCTTAAGACCGTTATCGTTCCACAGTTTAGAAAAATAGAATTTGTTCAGATTTTCAAGCTGTATCGAATGAGCATTTTACTCCTAAAAACGATTCCTCGTTAATAATTTTGGTAATCATTACGTCGAGGATCTTCTTCAGCCGAGTGACCGGGGCTTGCCCTTTTTGTGGACGAATCAAGCAGTAGATTTTCTTGATGCCAGGCACGGAATATAGCAGCTTTTCGACTAGCACCTAATTTTTGAATAATCATTTTATTTTGAGATGGCTCCAACCTTCCCCAAAAATCCACTAAAACCGGTAACAAAGACGCAGCTGCCATCGAACGTCTCTGCCACACTGTGCCGATGCATTTCGGACACGGGGTACCCTGAAATGTTTTTTACGCTGACAACCCCAGACGGTATTCGTCATATTTCAGTCTAGGAGGGCATCAATGGGATCGATAAGGGCAGCGGTGGGGGCTTTTTGTAGACGGGAAAATGCCGGGCCTGCATTTTTTCGCTCAGATAACGCCCTTGGTAAGCCTGCCACTCAGAAAGCTTAGGGTTCAAGGGTGGCTGGGATCAAGGGGCAACGGATTGCAATCGAAACAAATTGAGATTTCGAGTTCAATGTACGAGGGAAAGTGTGGGAAGTTCTTTGTTAAATTCCAAGGTACTGGAGAGTTGCATTTAAAAATCCGAAAATTTTGGGACAGTGCAAGGTGGTACAAAGTACGCTATTGGAATTTATCAAGAGAAAGAATTTTGGAGATAAATTTGGCCTCGTTTCTTTGGCGATTTTCCCAAGAAACTTAGTGCGCGGTTCGAAGGGCAAAATAAAAAGAGAAGTGCCTGAGTTTAACGATATTTTATAATGATGGACTTATTTAGAAGTCAATTTGCTTATTTGTTATTTTATAAAAAGACGGATGATCTTAAGGCAAGTACCGTACTTCTAGATGCGTAATGGTCTCACGACGGCTGCAAGTCTATCAGAATTCGCAAAATAAGCTATTTTCGATATTCCGTGACACTTATTTGCAAAAATGTCGATCAGTGCCTGTCAGGAAATAATTTGTATAAACACGGAATGGAATTTTATGGAAGTGTCTGCATAAATGACCTATGGGTGGTTTTTTGACATCTTTTTGTCGTCGGGAATTTTCAAAGAACTTTGCAAAGGGCATACTGTCATCGGTGAAGTGCGCCCAGGGACCAAAAGCCTTGAAACGTTTCGCCAATCCTGATCTCGACTAAAAACCTTACAAAATCGGTAGGATACAAACAGTCAAAGCTGGCTGCAAGCGCCACCCTGACCCGCTCCGGGTGGTCCCAACTAACCGGAAACTCGGAAATTAAACAATTCTGGCGGCAGCACCGAATCGGTCTAGTCCTCCCACCAACCCCCTCTTTCTTCTGATAAGCCCTATTCGATCACGCCACGAACCTTTTTCCTTGGAGTCTGAAGCCGGGGAATCGGGCTGCATCGCAAGATAGACTGCAAAGATCGGCGATTTTTCTGACCAATGTGGGTTGGCAGCGGAGCTTAGGGGAGGCTGAATTTTGTTGTGCTTGCAGAGGTCAGCCATAAGCCAGGGTGAATGATAAGGGGGTAATGGTGTACCAAAATGTTGCAACCTGGTGAAGAAAAAACAAAATGGGGACTGCTATAACTCTTTCCTTGATTGGGACGCGTGTTAAAAATTGGGGTGCATTAGTGCAATAGTTGCCAAACCGGGATTTTGATAAGGTCGACTAGCCCGCAACTCGATGTAACGTCTAATAGGCATATTATTTATTTTATTTTATTCTCCCATCAAAGCACACTGGTATCCAATGATGATGGATGCAATGACGCTTCTATCCCAGGTGTTGCCTAGAGCTATGTTCCCCTATTCACCCTCCATTTTTTCTGTAGATTCTAGTTCGTTCGGCAGGCAGCTGAATTTTCTCGAAAAAGTTGCCAATTACTTTTATCAGCCGCTACTCAGAACCATCGACCAAAGCCGCTTTACGGGCACCTGCCCTCCAGAATTTGTCAGCATACTGCTGAATCAGCATTCTTGAAAGTTTTAGCATTGGAGGTTGCGAAAAACACGGAATCCTTTATTCAAAATGGCGATTTCAAAGTGTTGGGGCTTTGGGAACGCTTTTTGGAGGGGTGATGACTAGGTGAAAATCTCATCAAGAGGGCTCAAAAATAAATATTAAACGTTTGGCATACTAGCAGATAGGTGTGCGGACCGGGGAAGTGCAAAATGCAAAAATTGTTGGTTTTGGGTTGATGAGGGCCGTTGGTCTGGGTACGGTACATTATCCGAGGATATTTCATTCGTTTCGTCTATCTGCCGTACATTCCGCCGCTCAGGGGCATTGATCGCAGCATTCGCTCGCCACGTTTGCCGTACATACCCCCTAAAAAATTGTTGTTGTTAAGGATTTTGACATGTTTTTGGCGTCACAAATTTTTAAAGTTGAAAACTTGCCAGAGAATGGCATGGCTGCTCGTTTGCCGTACATCCCACCGCTGAACGGCATCGCCGCCCGCTTCCCGTACATGCCGCCTAGAATTTCTAATTTGTTTGATGGCGCTTCGTGACGGGATATGTAAATATTATGCCTCTCTACCGGGCAACCAAGAATGTTTGCCGTTTTTTGTGCAGCCAGTCCAACTTTAACCTTCAAAAATGGCCCTTCTCCAGACAAAAAAAGAGGAATTGAATTTCATATCGATTCTAACGAGACGTTCGGTTGTAGTAACTTTTCGTTTTTGTCTTTGATAACAATTTACCAGAGAAAGGCATGGCCGCCCGCTTGCCATACATGCCGCCGGAAAATGGCATTCGCTGGGCCCTCTTCACCGCCACGTAAATCTGAAGAAAGAAGCGTTTGAGTGACAGCTTGTTGGTGGCCATAATGCCATCATTTCCTTTGTTTGATGCCTTCCACTCACCGGCTGGACATCCTCGTCTGAAGCCCAATCGAGCATTGGCAGCAAGTCGTCATCAGACGCCGAAACTGAAATAGAGTTATTAAATTAAATTCCTATGTTCCTTATCATTTTGGCTTTTTCAATTTTTGCGGGCCAGACTGGTCTATCCTAGTAAACAATAATTGAGTATCTACCCGGAACTGCGTCGTTATATGATCTTATGTCTATTGAAGCTCTAATGACCTACCTTAACCTCAACAATATGTTTTTTCTTGTTGAAATCTACATACCAGGCAGGGATGAAATGACGGATGCGAAGATTGGAAGCAGGATCAGGAAAGCCGTCAACAAGGAGCATGGGCTGAATCTCGACCGCGGCTCCATCTGCACAGACACTCGGCGGCGATCTCTGGATTACCTGTAAAAATAAAATATAGCTGTTTTTGTTGGTTCTCATCGACACCATAGAGGGATTTGAAAATTGTGACGTGGCGGGAATACAGCAATTCGGCAAAGCTTCTCAATCTAACCACCGCCAGGTGGACGAATGGCCCAAGGAATCCAAGAATTTCCGGCCATACGCTTTTGAGAAAGCAGCTGTCCGCCTACCCGGAATGAGAGGAATCTTTTTTGGAATTTTGTCTACGAACGCAGGCAGCTGAATGGATTTCCCTGAAACCAGGAACTCAAGTAATGAGCATCCTAAAGTAAGATCAAACGCGATTTTCGCTCGACGAAATATATACTACATCGTTCACAGCGTGCGCGCAGAAATCCGTTCCTCAAACCGCATATTAATGCCCGCTAGCCACGCGGGCCTTTTGAATAGCAAATCATGCATTGCCCGGTAGAATGGTATCTTCATTGCAAAAAACCTAAGACCCGAAAATTTCAACGAAACCCAGAAGGAGCGCCTGGCCGAATGCCACTAACCCGGTCTGGCGAGCCAATTTCCGGCGAGGAACCGCCTAGTTCCCTATTTCATCTAACAAAAGCCATTCCACCACCATTTCTCTTGGCCATTTAACTTGAGAAAAACGGAAATGAGCAATTATGTAACGTCTGACAACATCACGGATATATCCCGGGTCACGTTCGTTATGGGCTACATTTCCGATTTTTTTGGGTAAATTTTGCAACCGGATCGCGTGGGGACGAGGGGTCTAGTGGCCGGCGGAGACAAATGGACAATCCACACATAAAATTTTGCGAATGTTGTTTCAAATAGAGCTGGAAAGGTTAGAATAACGCTAAGTTTTTGGACTTGAATTCCAAAAGCAGCAGACAATCCAGGAAAAGATTGTTGTGATGTTTTGCGGTTGGCCGCCGACCGATGCATTTGTTAGCGCGGATATGCTGGGATTTGGAAAATGCTGCGTGGATTCGTTGCAGCTACAAATTTTGGGGAGGTTTAGAACCAAAACGCTAACGATATAGGCGACTCTCATAGGCTCCAAAATTAATCTCAAACAATAAATCATGGAAATTAGGTCTACCATCAATTTACGAGGCCGAACACCTGGCCAATAATAAAATGACCATACGCAGCTTCATCATTGTTATACATCCAAGCGTGACCCTCCCCCCCTCTTATGAGTGATGCACGAATAAAAAACTTGGTAAAGGGGAAGAAAGAGAGGGGAGTAATAAAAAAGAACCCATGAAAATGGCCGAAATGAGCATCGAGGCGCCTCAACTGGCGCGTCCCCCCGGGCAGCCCCCACCTCCCTGACGACACCAAAAAAACGTTGGTCCTCATAAAAAATGATTAACAAAAGTAACATCAAGCGTCCTTCAGTAAGGCGTTCTTTTCCTGTCCCGTTTTTGAGCGAAATTACCGTACTATCAGAATGAGGGTTCTGGGTGAGGCCAGCGAACGTTCCCTGAATCCTGGGGTCATTACCAATAAATGCCACTACGTAACCTCCGGGGGAGAAGATAATTTTTGGTTGAACTTGACGCCTAGCACGCCTACGAAGCCAAAAAATAAGTAATTCGGAGCAGCTGTTTTGAGTTGTTGACGCTCGGAGGCAGGTGCAAGCTCGCGCATCATAATTTCCTATCATTTTGTGAGTGTTATGATGCGTTATTGTGCGTAAGTCCAGAAAAAAACCCGTACCTTGCTCTGCGTATAGCGAGGTTTTGGAGGGGAACTCCCGATTGGGCAACTACCATTTTCTGTAACTAGCGGGTTGTGCTCTTTGGCGGCGGGAAATAAATGTGGAATTTAATCGGCGGCGACATGCGAAAAACTAATCTTTATTTTGTTTGGGTGGTGGGGGAGGGTGGACCAGCGCTGATTCGATAATTGGCCTTAAGGAGAAGAGAAAGACTAAGGTTTGATCGACCGAGCCGGCCTCCGTTGACGGAAAGCCAATTCTGCAGTCGACAGCCCTCACAAAGTGAAGATAAATCAGAAATAAAGGAAAGTCGGGTAAAAAATTACCGAGGGCCAGACTAACCGCAACAAAACTCTGACGCTCAACCCGACTGCCGGCCGGAAATCGTCGCGAAACACTAATGCGCAGCGCCTCACGATTAGCCAAATGTGCTTGGCGCCTTCATCTCGAGTTACCTGGAGAATTTGAGCTTTTTGCGTAAGGTCAAATTCAAGCATGCCCAAAAACCCATAAAGGGGCTCTCAAATTTCAGCGGCAAGCTGTACACCCCCACCCGCCGGATACAGAGGGCCCCAGGTATTGAAGTGATGACGAGACCTCGAAGCCACGAAATCAGCAAACAAAATACGTTTTTTACTCACCAACCCTATTCTATCCAAGAAAATCGGGTGCATGTGGGCGAACGTTACGTGAACCGGACACGTAGGCGGATGTTCTCTGCTATTCTGTGCAGGGCCCATCGAAAAAATGGGGTACAAAAGCGACGCTGCTCGGTTTAATGACCGCATCCAAATGCAGCCATTTTACTACTGCCCTCTGGCTATCTATCCACCTCCTCTCCATCCTCCGCCTTTCACCCATCCACGGCAACAATGACGGGGGACTGTGGTCGTAAATTGGGCAAAAGCGGAATTCGCGACGATGAAATAGATGGGGAATGCCGCTAAATAACTCACCCGGGTGGTGACCAAGCGACTACGTCGACTAATAGATAATATGAGGAAGTGAGCTCGAGTATGAGCTTTTGGGAATGATGGTTGATGTTACAAACCAATTGAAAAGGAGAAATTTTTCTTAAAAACCTATCGTTACATGTTGGTAGTTTTTGGTAACTCCAGCTCTTCCTGCTTTGCTTTTGTATATTTAACTAGTGTAGTTAAAACTGTTTCGTTCTTTGCTTTCGCTTCCTAAATTGGATGGCGTTCCAAACCAGTTGGCTAATTTTCGAGTAATCTCATTTACCGAAACAAATTATCGGGGGGAATTAGCGTCCGGCGGTGGAAAGTGTATTAGTCTTTGGACGTACTTCTTGGAGGATTTGAATTGGCGGGTAATGGATGAAAAATTTTTTTAAACGCGTTTCTAATGCTCAAAAAAATTGGAAAGGTGGTTAAACGAGTCAGTTATATCCGCTAATAAAATTTATTGAGCAAAAAGCCTACGACACTCGGTATTCCCAGGCCGTCTCCGATCCAAGTACTAACCGAGCCCAACGTTGCTTAACTTGGCAGATCAGACGGGATGCCGTGCTTTCAACGTGGTATCGTCGTAGGCGAGGGAGCCTTAAGCTTGCCCTTCTTTCTAATTAGCCAGGACCCAGCAACTGAGGCCTAGAAAGCCCTGCCTCAAGGAAGGCCCGCAAGCATTGGAAGTGGACTCACAGCCAAAAAACAATTCCAGGACGGTCAACAAAACAAACAATGAACGAGCTGGGGGGTATGGCATGGAACCGAAATGAGGCCACGAAGAAATTGCCAAGAGCCGGAAGCCGTCTCATCTAGTCCCTCTCACCCAACGGCCCAAATATACAGCTATTCCCGTTCGCCTTCCGGGCAACTTTAGGGAGGTAAAAAAGCAGGGCATGCAACCCTTGGTTGGGCTATTGCTGGCCCATCCCTTGACGTGATACTAAATTGGGACCGAATGGGACGTTTTGGGGAGAACTTTGATTCTTTTTATACCAGGCTATAAAGTTTTTCTATGGTATTTTTCGATTGAAGCATCCAATCATTGTTATTATATTAGATTTAACGTTATCGATATGTCAAAATTTGGCTAACGCTTTATTTTTGCGCTTCTGGGAATACTTATTTTAGATTTTATGCTATATTCTAGTCATTATATGATATAATTATTTGTCGACTGTCCTAATCAAATCAGTCCCCTTGAATTTTATTGTTTATGCCCTTGCAAACCGTATTAAACCCTTGATTATCGTAAAAAAGAAGATCCATCGCAACATCCTTCCCCATTTACCACCCACGCTCCAGACAGCCCGCCCCCTAAAGCCAGCAACAAAAGCTCTTCTGGAGGCCCCTTCCCCAAAGCTGCGTGCCTATCGTCCCGAAAATTTGAGGCGCTCAAAATAGTAACTGGAATGGCCAAAGTGACGTCGATGGTTTGCCTTGAAGCAGTGGGGGAAGCCTAGGTAGTGCATCGACGAAAGAACGTGCTGGCTGCACGAGTGGGGAGAGCGAGAGTCTTTCCACATTCTAGGGTATCACGGCATCGAATCTGTTAGTTAATTAACTGCCAATCTGGTAGGGCAGGGGGTTTGGCTACGGGGGGAATCGAGAGCTTTCACGTATCAACAGAAGCTGCACAGCGGGGTGGTTGTAGACGCACGTGCTTTGCGTGGCTCCGGGATGTAGGTTAAAGGTTTGGTCAAGCAGGATATAGGTTGCGTGGGATACTAAGTGACTAAACTAAATATAAAATGTGGGTTACCGCATTTTCTCTAGAATATTAATAAAAAATTTCGATTTTTCATATTATATATTTTCGGAAAAGAGATTTTAGGAGAAGGACACTTCTAATTGGGGGAGTTTTATTGGTTTGATCGAAACACCGAAAATCGCAGTAAAATTAATCGATTTTAGCGAATTTGATGGGTGGATGCCACTTTAACTATGATAAAACCGCTATTAATGCTAGGGCAAGGAATAAAAATATTTTTCGCATTTTTAGGAATTCTCAAAGAAATCCAGCCAACTTTTATGTTAAAATGAGCTAATTTTTTTGAGAAAGTGTGGTTGGTATAACCCATGCATCTCGTAAACGAAGCTCTCCGGGATCCATTTTTACTTAAAATGCATTAGCTCCGAGCAGTGTCTCAGACCCAACAGTCCTTCCAAAACACTTCAGACCTCCAAAGTAAATCGGAATCTGCAGGGGGCCCAAAAACCGAAACGCAATCAACTAAGCAAAAACTAACCCTAAACAATAAATTCATAGGACGCAGTAGGCCGAAACAAATCGAAAACC